TAGAATGCTGCTCGAACATGGCCATACAGCAGGCATGGGCAAACTTCAGCCTTCCCTCCAGGTGTTTTGGACTCCAACTCCCACAATTCTGAGATTCTGAGGAAGCTGGCCACAGGTGCAGGAGTAACACAAGGAAAGAATGCAGCTGGAACATAAACATACAGCCCAAAAAACTCACAGCAACCCATATTTCCTTTTGTAGGAAGGGTGCTAACAGTTGAAAAGTGGGTTGGAGAGTGTTAGTATTGTCTTCAGGCAACCAAGGCCAGTTTCCATGTGGTTGTTTTGGGGAAAGTAGAAGGTAACGAGCCAGGATTGTGCCACTTTGTGCAGGAGGAGCGAAGGGATGCAACTCCTCGGTCTCCGACTTACTCAGCTGCAACGAAGTGGGATTTCGTTATGGTCCCAGACTTGGGGAGTGTATGGATTTCTGGACAGGTTTGAGTTTCGTAAGAAGGGCGATGCCAATGACAAAGGAGGGGAGAGTCATAGGTGTGTTTTGGGTAAAGAGAAGCCCCAAGATCAGGGCCAAGTTGCAATAACCAGGGTTGAATGAAAAGTAATGCCTCCACCTCCATAACTCCTCAACAGATGGCAGTACCGGTATGCGACAGGTACTGGCTTGTTCAGTAGACTCTCCTCTACAGTTCCATTTTGGCAGGAAGCCTTAGCATTGAACAGTTGTGTTGCTAAAGTGAAAAGTAATGCCTCCACCTCCGTAACTCCTCAACAGATGGCAGTACCGGTATGCGGCAGGTACTGGCTTGTTCAGTAGACTCTCCTCTACAGTTCCATTTTGTTGGGAAGCCTTAGCATTGAACGGTTGTGTTGTTAAAGTGCAAAGTATGGAACCCTGCGCAGACAGTCGGTTAGTGCAGCTTAAGCAACGTGCAGTCATTGAATTATTGACAGCAGAAGGTGTCACCCCAAAGGATATTCATAAGAGAATGCAACTGTTTATGGTGATTGTGTTGATGTGAGTACTGTGCATCGTTGGGCGAGCAAGTTTAAAGATGTTGAGGTGACACCTTCCACTGTCAAAAATTCTATGACTTGTCAAAGGCTTTCATGGCCAGAATCACTGGGTTATTGTAGGTTTTTTCGGGCTATATGGGCATGTTCTAAAGGAATTCTCTCCTGACGTTTCGCCTGCATCTATGGTAAGCATCCTCAGAGGTAGTGAGGTCTGTTGTAACTAGGAAAATGGGTTTATATATCTGTTCATAGAATCAAAGAGTTGGAAGAGACCTCATGGGCCATCTAGTCCAACCCCCTTCCAAGAAGCAGGAATATTACATTCAAATCACCCCTGACAGATGGCCATCCAGCCTCTGTTTAAAAGCTTCCAAAGAAGGAGCCTCCACCACACTCCGGGGCAGAGAGTTCCACTGCTGAACGGCTCTCACAGGAAGGGTTTATATATCTGTGGAATGACCAGGGTGGGACAAAGAACTCTTGTCTGTTGTAGCTAGGTGTGAATATTTCAGCTGACCACCTTGATTAGCATTTGATGGCCTGGTAGTGCCTGGGGCAATCTTTTGTTGAGAGGTAGGCACTGCCAGGCCATCAAATGCTAATCAAGGTGGTCAGTTGAAACATTCACACCTAACTCCAACAGACAAGAGTCCTTTGTCCCACCCTGGTCATTCCACAGATATATAAGCCCATTTTCCTAGTTCCAACAGACCTCACTACCTCCGAGGATGCTTGCCATAGATGCAAGCGAAACGTCAGGAGAGAATGCCTCTAGAACATGGCCATATAGCCCGAAAAAACCCCTACAACAATCCAATTCTATGACTGCACGTTGCTTAAGTCTCATTGACCGACCGTCTGCGCAGGGTTCCATACTTTGCACTTTAACAACACAACCATTCAATGCTAAGGCTTCCTGCCAAAATGGAACTGTAGAGGAGAGTCTACTGAACAAGCCAGTACTGCCATCTGTTGAGGAGTTAACAAAGTTGGAGGCATTACTTTTTACTCAACCCTCGTAGTTGGCAAAACCTCATGAAGAAGGGTTCAATCTTCATCACTTTGTGTTCGAATTGAGACTGCCACCCGCCTTCCTCCGCCTCCTGCCGAAGATGTAATGCGTAAAGTGTACATTGTGAATGGTGCCAAATGAGATGAAGATGCCAGAGGGAACGAGAAGGGGTCCCGGATTCCCTCCCTCCTGGTTTCCATCTTCAAAAACTTTTGTTTGAAAGTAGGAGGGTTTCCTGGGTGTGCTGCCTTTGCAATAACAAAACGAAGCCCCTTTTGAGTAGTGGGGGGCGGGATAATTTGCACCGTGTCGGGGGAAACCGGGCAACGTGGTTTCCCCGAAGGACCCCCTCCGCTTCTCTCCCCTTCTGTCCCTTTTTGGGCCTGAGCTGCACCTCCCAAATCTTCCTGCCAAGACGAAGGCAGGCGTGGGGAGAGAAAGCGGCGGGCTAGCATTGTGATAGACACTTGAAAATATTTATATTTAAAAACGAGAAAGAGAGACAGAAAGAAATGTACTGAACCCCTTTCTCTCTCTTTTTTTTTTTGGAAAAATAAAATTCTATAAATGTGTGTTTGGAAAGAATGCGCTTGTGTTTATTTCTTTGCCTCCAAGACCTTCTGACCCTTATGCACCCCAAATCACTTTCCAATCATTTTTCACGTCTTAGAAAAAGCTCTTGGCTGGATTGGAGAGCTTTTTGTGGACTGTGCAGGATCATAGAATCATTTGGTATCAGCCATTGATTGAGGTTCTGGGTTTGAGCCTGCCACTTTTGGACTCTTGCTTGCTGAGGTGTTCCAGCGAGTGTCTTTGTAGATCTTAGGAAACTATTTCTTGATTTAAGACATTGCCATGCTGGCTGATACCCAAACAAGGAATGAGCTGGAGATGTCTCTGCCTTGGTAATTTCATTATTGGCTGTTACTTCCCGACGGATGTCAGGTGTCATGCTAAACAGTGTAATTTCTCCAGTGGTGTAGGGCGCAGACACCCTGTGATAATGTGGCATGTCTCATTAAGAGCCATATCCACTGTTTTCACGTGGTGAGATGTGTTCCACCCTGGGCATGCATACTCAGCAGCAGAGTCACAAAGTGCAAGGCAGATGCCTTCACTGTATCTGGTTGTGGTCCCCAGGTTGTGCCAGTCAGCTTTTGTATGATATCGTTTCTAGCACCCACTTTTTGCTTGATATTCAGGCAGTGCTTCTTGTACGTCAGAGAACGGTTCAAATAACAATAACATTGTATAATAATTATAATATTGTATAAATAGAAGTTCCATAATAAAAGTCCCATAATAATATTGTATAAATAGAAGTCCCATAATTGGCAGAAAGGCGTGAAACAAAAGGAAATAATACTTTTGCAATAATAATAATAATACAATAATATTGTATAAATATAAGTCCCATTATAATTGGCAGAAAGGTGAGATACAAAGGAAATAATACTTTTGCAATAATAATAATAATAATAATAATAATAATAATAATAATATATTGTATAAATATAAGTCCCATTATAATTGGGGAAAGGTGGGATGCAAAAGAAAATAATACTTTTGCAATAATAATAATAATAATAATATAATAATGTATAATTATAAGACCCATTATAATTTGGAATTTGTGGGAAAGGTGTGATACAAAAGGAAATAATACTTTTGCAATAATAATAATAATAATAATAATAATAATAATACAATAATATTGTATAAATATAAGTCCCATTATAATTGGCAGAAAGGTGAGATACAAAGGAAATAGTACTTTTGCAATAATAATAATAATAATAATAATAATAATAATAATAATATATTGTATAAATATAAGTCCCATTATAATTGGGGAAAGGTGGGATGCAAAAGAAAATAATACTTTTGCAATAATAATAATAATAATAATATAATAATGTATAATTATAAGTCCCATTATAATTTGGAATTTGTGGGAAAGGTGTGATACAAAAGGAAATAATACTTTTGCAATAATAATAATAATAATAATAATACAATAATGTATAACTATAAGTCCCATTATAATTGGGAAAAAGGTGGGACACAAAACGAAATAATACTTTTGCAATAATAATACTTTTGCAATAATAATAATAATAATACAATATTGTATACATATAAGTCCCATTATAATTGGCAGGAAAGTGGGATACAAAAGGAAATGATACTTTTGCAATAATAATAATAATACAATAATGTATAACTATAAGTCCCATTATAATTGGGAAAAAGGTGGGACACAAAACGAAATAATACTTTTGCAATAATAATACTTTTGCAATAATAATAATAATATAATAAGCCCCATTATAATTGGGGGGAAAGTGGGATACAAAAGGAAATAATACTTTTGCAATAATAATACTTTTGTAATAATAATAATAATAATAATAATAATAATAATAATAATAATAATAATACAATATTGTATACATATAAGTCCCATTATAATTGGCAGGAAAGTAGGATACAAAAGGAAATAATACTTTTGCAATAATAATAATTATAATTGGGGGGAAAGTGGGATACAAAAGGAAATAATACTTTTGCAATAATAATACTTTTGTAATAATAATAATAATAATAATAATAATAATAATAATAATAATAATAATACAATATTGTATACATATAAGTCCCATTATAATTGGCAGGAAAGTAGGATACAAAAGGAAATAATACTTTTGCAATAATAATAATAATAATAATAATAATAATAATGAGTCCCGTTATTGGGAGAAAACTGAAGAATTTACTAGTATAACAACAATAAGAAATAAACGACAAGACTATGAATGCAGCATTCGCAGAGCAGAGGCGGAACTGTCGAGGCCGCGCTTGTTGCTGGGGGAAAGCTTCAAAAATCGGACCGCCTGTCCTGGAGGCCTTCGAGCGCCGCTGGAATCAGGAGCCGCTCTGGCCATAGCCTACCAATGTCGGTGCCTTCCTCGATGGTTCCAAAACCGGAAGTGAGGTGGGCGGAGGGCTTTTAAGGTTGGACGCGCATCCGGTCTCGGCGTGGGAAGGCAGGAGAAGGCAATGCTGGCGGCGAGAAGGGCGGCCGGGGGCCTCTTCTTCCTCTTCCGGGAGGTGAGCCCAGGTTTTGAGGGAGGGATGGATGGGAGGGGGAAAGGGACTCATAGAGGTCCTCTAGTCTGACCCCCATTTGAGGTTTCAGTTCTCAAGTTTCAGATCTGGGTTGCTGTGAGTTTTCCAGTAGCATTCTCTCCTGAATATTGGAATATTGTGTCCAATTCTGGGCACCACAATTCAAGAGAGATATTGACAAGCTGGAATGTGTCCAGAGGAGGATGACTAAAATGATCAAGGGTCTGGAGAACAAGCCCTATGAGGAGCGGCTTAAGGAGCTGGGCATGTTTAGCCTAAAGAAGAGAAGGCTGAGAGGAGATATGATAGCCATGTATAAAAATGTGAGAGGAAGCCACAGGGAGGAGGGAGCAAGCTTGTTTTCTGCTTCCCTGAGACTAGGACGCAATAGAACAATGGCTTCAAACTACAATTATTATTATTATTATTATTAAACTTTATTTGTACCCCGCTAGCATCTCCCGAAGGACTCGATGCGGTTTACAAAGGCCAAGGCCTCAACACAACAGCAGTAAACAACAACAATACAAAAGAGAGCAAATTAAAAACATAAGCAATAACAAAACATTACACTATTACACAATAAAAACCAGGGCCGGGCCAATGATGGGTACAGGTTAAAAAAGTGCTGGGTGTGACAGGAGGTGTATTGGAATTCTGGGCAAGTGCAATGTGCAGAGAGTCTTAAACTCTAGTAAAGTGCTTCTGGGACGTAGTGCTGGGGGTTATCCTATTCTGGAAAGGCACGTCGGAATAGCCAGGTCTTCAAGTTCTTCCTAAAGACTGCCAACGTGGGAGCTAGTCTAATGTCTTTGGGGAGGGCGTTCCAAAGTCGGGGGGCAACCACAGAAAAGGCCCTGTCCCTCGTCCCCACCAAGCGCGCCTGCGACGCAGGTGGGATCGCAAGCAGGGCCTCTCCAGATGACCGAAGGGAGCGTGTGGGTACATAAGCGGAGATGCGGTCACGGAGGTAGGCAGGTCCCAAACCGTTTAGGGCTTTATAGGTAAGCACCTGCACCTTGAATTGGGTTCGGTAGGTGAACGGCAGCCAATGGAGCTCCTTAAACAGGAGGGTTGACCTCTACCTGTAAAGAGCACCAGTTAACATCCTGGCCGCTGCCCGTTGAACCAGTTGGAATTTCCAAGCCGTTTTCAAGGGCAGCCCCACGTAGAGCGCATTACAGTAATCCAATCTGGAGGTGACTAAGGCGTGGACCACCCTGGCCAAATCAGCCTTTGCGAGGTATGGTCGCAGCTGGCGCACAAGTCTTAGTTGTGCAAAAGCCCTCCCGGACACCGCTGACGCCTGAGCATCAAGCGTAAGTGATGAATCCAGAAGAACTCCCAAGCTGCGGACCTGAGACTTCAGGGGGAGTGCAACCCCATCCAGCTCAGGTTGCCACCCTATTCCCGATCAAGAGAGGAGATTCCATCTGAACCACACTCCGGAGCAGAGAGTTCCACTGCTGAACGACTCTCACAGTCAGAAAGTTCTTCCTCATGTTCAGATGGAATCTCCTCTCTTGTAGTTTGAAGCCATTGTTCCGTGTCCTAGTCTCCAGGGAAGCAGAAAACAAGCTTGCTCCCTCCTCCTCCCTGTGGCTTCCTCTCACATATTTATACATGGCTATCATATCTCCTGTCAGCCTTCTCTTCTTCAGGCTAAACATGCCCAGCTCCTAAAGCCGCTCCTCATAGGGCTTGTTCTCCGGACCCTTGATCCTTTGAGTCGCCCTCCTCTGGAGACATTCCAGCTTGTCAATATCTCTCTTCAATTGTCGTGCCCAGTTACAAACTGGAGGCCCCGGTGGTGCAGTGGCTTAAACGGCTGAGCTGCTGATCTTGATGATTGAAAAGTCACAGGTTCGAATCTGGGGAGTGAGATGAGCTTCCGCCATCATCCCCAGCTTCTGCCAACCTAGCGTAGGAGCCTTTGTGGTGCAAACTGACTCACGAACCAACCTATGTGGTGTCTTGTTTTCTAGAACAGCAGAAGTGTGTGTTACCTCCTCATCTTAACCCCCTCCCTCCCTGTCTTCTTTTCCCCTTGTTCCTGCAGAGAGGCAGCCGGCTGTTGCGCCCGGCCCAGTTGTCCCCAGTGCCCCAGCGATGGTCCTCCAGCCTCCCCATGAACACTGTGATCCTCTTCGTGCCACAACAGGAAGCCTGGGTGGTGGAGCGGATGGGGCGCTTCCACCGCATCCTGGAACCCGTAAGGACGCCGCCGTGTCTGTTACGAATGTTTAGTATCTAGAGCAGACTGCAAACACAACCAGTGCTATACATGACCTTATGGTAGGAAGCAGGAGGGCTAATAAGGATGCTCTGGTAAGGTATAAAAAAGGCAAAAAACATACATTTATTGTTGCAGGTAATATAAAATAATCAATGAACAAAAGTAACTTAGCTACCTTTGCTGACTCTCATGTCTCTGTGTCAGGCATCTTGAGCCAGAGAGAAGCTCTCTTTTGTAACAGAAGTGTACTAAAGCATTAAAACCTGAAAAGAAAAAGGGGAAATATCCTCTCCATGCAGGCAGGAAGCAAAATACCTTGATTTATATAGAATTAGCTGCTTTGAGTCTCCTGCAGGAGAGATAAAGTGAGGTATAAGTAATAATAATAATAATAATAACAACAACAAGAACACAAGTGAAAAGAAGTGAGTATGTTCCACAGGCTTTTCTCTGTCCTTAACTGCTCTCTATATACAAGTGCCATATGTTTGTGTGTGTGTGTGTTACCAAACTTTGTTAGAAGAGCCTAATGCTGACTCTGATGTCTCTGGGTCAGGCATCTTGAGGCAAAGAGAAGCCTCACGGTGCTCCCTTCTCAAACTAAAGGGTAATAAAGTACTAAAGCCTTCTGGGAAGAAAACGGGGAAGTGTCCTCTCCATGCAGGCAGGAAACAAAAACATTGGCTTACATAGATCTAGGGAACACAAGTGAAAATGAGCAGGCATGCCCCACAGGCTTCTCTCTGTCCCTAATTGCTCTCTGTATACAAGTGTATATAGTGTGATGTGTGTGTGTTTGTATACACACACACACACATATCAGATAAAAGGGTAGATGGACAAAAGAAAGTTCCCTAACTTTGGTGGAAGAGTTTATAATGCTGTCTCTCAAGTCCCTGTATAAGAGAGAAGCCCCACGATGCTCTCTCCTCAAGATGGAGTCATATTAAGAAAATAATACATTAACCTGTCTATCTTTGTGACTGTATCTTCCCCTATGAGCCCTCACGATCTCTAAAATCTTCTGGGGAGTCTTTCTCTAGCTCCCACTCCTGTGTCAGGCACAGTTGGTGGAGACGAGAGAAAGGGCCTTCTTGGTGGTGGCCCCTTGGCTCTGGAAATCCCTTCCCAGAGAGATCAGGCTAGCACCCTCCCTATTCGTAAGGAACTAAAGACGTGGATGTTCTGTTGTGCATTTGATTGACAATTCCCTTGACAGATGGCCCCTAATCATGGCCTAAAATCAAGTCCCTGCATTTTACTATTGCGCTATTCAAGCTATAACAACCTAACTGCTCTATCCCTATGCTGCTATATGATCTATGCGCCTTATTGACCTGCCTATTTTCTAACTTGTTTGCACACCACCACACCCCTCCATAATGAGACTTGAAGTATATTTCTGGTTGTTGCTTATGATGTTTATCTTACTATTGTATCTTACTATGGGTTTTTCAATACTTTACACGCTGTGTTTTTAACTGTATGTGATTGGGCTTGGGCCCCATGTAAGCCGCCCCAAGTCCCTTCAGGGAGATGGAGGCAGGGTATAAAAATAAAGTTATTATTATACAGTGTTCCCTCGCTATTTCGTGATTTGCTTATTGCGGACTCGCTGTTTCACGGGGAGCAGTGAGGGAATAATGTATTGCTGCTCCCCGTTCCTTCCTAGCCAGGCTGGGTGCCCAAGGGTGTCCAGCCTGCCAAAGAAGGGACCTCCGAGGTGGGGAGGAGGCCACCACCAAAGAGGGCCTCGGTAGCTGTGTCCACTTCTTCGCTGCACCACGCTCCTTCCTCATCAGACTGGGCACCAGGTGTGGGCACCCAGCCTGGTGAGGAAGGGACCTCCGAGGTGGGGAGGAGCAGAGGTGGTGAGGAAGAGGAGGCTGCCGCCAAAAGGGCCTCGGCGGTGGCATCTTCTTCCTCGCCCCTCCACTGCTCCACTCTCCTTCCTCGCTAGGTTGGGTGCCCAAGGGTGCCCAGTCTGCCAAAGAAAGGACCTCCGAGTTGGGGAGGAGCAGAGGTCGTGAAGAAGAAGAGGCTGCCACCAAAAGGGCTTAAGTGGTGGCATCTTCTTCCTCGCCCCTCCACTGCTCCACGCTCCTTCCTCGTCAGGCTGGAGCGGCGGGCCTTGCAGGCCGGGCAAAAGTGGGGTCTGGTGCAGGCCTCCCCCACCACGGGGTTTGGTGCAGTCCCCACCATGCCGGTGCCACCTCTAAAAGGAAAGGGGAAAGCCTCGCAATTCCCCTTTTCCTATTGGAGATGGCGGAGCCTGCACCAGATCCTGATCTTGCCGGGCCTGCACGGCCCACTGCCTCACCACACTGGCTCCGCCTCCGGAGGTTTTGGACTTCAACTCCCATAATTCCCTACTTTGCAGTTTTTCACTTATTGCGGGGGTTGCTGGAATGTAACCCCCGCGATAAGTGAGGGAGCACTGTATTATTATTTTGACCTCATGCAGGCAGGAAACAAACACGTTTTGAGTTACACAGATTTAGAAAACAAGACAGTAGGCAGGCACTACAGGATTCCCTCTGTCCTTAATTGCTCTCTCTATGCAAGTGTTCATGCTTCTTCAATTCCAGTAATTTCTACTTCAAGCAGGCACAACTTTAAGAAAACTAGAAAATTGGGACTGGGGTTTGCAATTGTATCTGCTCGATGCCTGGGGCTTTGTTGTCATTACTTGTTTCGACTTATTTTATTTATTTATTTACTTACTTCATTTATATACCGCTTTTCTCAGCCCTCAGGCGACTCAAAACAGTTAACAGCAAAATTCAATGCTAAACATCATAAAACAATTAAGGGACAGTTAAAACAATAGCATCAACAACTAGACATCAATATAACAGCTTGTTAGCATCTCATCAGTAGAATCAGAATCCAATCTCATCATCCGTTATTCCATGTTCCTATATTCATTACACTGCTTAATTGAATGCCTGTTCAAACAGCCAGGTCTTGACTTTCCTCTGAAATGCCAACAGGGAGGGGGCCGATCTGATATCTGCAGGCAGGGCGTTCCACAGCTGAGGGGCCACCACCGAGAAGGCCCTGTCTCTCGTTCCCACCAGGTGCGCCTGTGATGCAGGCGGGAACGAGAGCAGGGCTTCCCCAGATGATCTTAATGTCCTAGTTGGTTCATAGGAGGAGATGCGTTCAGAGAGGTAAGTAGGGCCAGAACCGTTTAGGGCTTTATAGGTTAACATCAGCACTTTGAATTGTGCCCGGTAGCAAACTGGCAGCCAGTGGAGCTGATGCAACAGAGGAGTTGTATGCTCCCTAAGTGCCGCTCCTGTTAGCATCCTGGCTGCCGAGCATTGGACCATTTGAAGCTTCCGAGAAGTCTTCAAAGGCAACCCCACGTAGAGAGTGTTGCAGTAGTCTTAAAGGTGGGCTTGGGAATGAGAAACCACCGTCAGCTTTCAATGTCTGCTGAAGATGTTTGCTTGAAGTTTGGTCCCATCCTGTTCGCTGTGTATAACTTTGTGCTTAATTCGTGTTTAATGTTTGCATCTTTGAAGGGAGAAGCTTTGAAACTCCTTTATTGTAAGAGAGATTAAATTAGAAACCCTGTGGGCAATTGCTCACACTGGGCGCTTCTAGGCGTGTCTCCACCAGAACAAAACAAAGCTTTAGCTTTGGGATGATGAGGCCATATTGAGATACAATACAAAGGGCAAGACTGTTCTCCTGAAGAAAGATTTCCCCCTTTTTGTTGCTTTTCTAGGGACTGAACTTCCTCATCCCGCTCCTGGATCGCATTCGCTATGTGCAAAGCCTCAAAGAAATTGTCATCAATGTGCCTGAGCAGTCAGCTGTGACCCACGGTGAGCTAAGCCCCTCTTAACACTAAGGAACAAATCTGACCAGGCTACGATACCTTCGACTCCCCTAAAACAGTCCCTGTCTTCTTACAGATAACGTGACTCTCCAGATCGATGGCGTCCTCTACTTGCGCATCATGGACCCCTACAAGGTATCCTTCGGCCCTGCTGAATCCCTGCTGTGTTCTTCTAGAATCATAGAATCAAAGAGTTGGAAGAGACCTCATGGGCCATCCAGTCCAACCCCATTCTGCCAAGAAGCAGGAAAATTGCATTCAAACCCCTGACAGATGGCCATCCAGCCTCTGTTTAAAAGCTTCCAAAGAAGGAGCCTCCACACGCTGAACAGTGTCCCACTGCTGAACGGCTCTCACAGTCAGGAAGTTCTTCTCATGTTCAGATGGAATCTCCTCTCTTGTAGTTTGAAGCCATTGTTCCGTGCCCTAGTCTCCAGGGAAGCAGAAAACAAGCTTGCTCCCTCCTCCCTATGACTTCCCTCACATATTTATACATGGCTATCATGTCTCCTCTCAGCCTTATCTTTCTTCAGGCTAAACATGCCCAGCTCCTTAAGCCGCTCCTCATAGGGCTTGTTCTCCAGACCCTTGATCATTTTAGTCGCCCTCCTCTGGACACATTCCAGCTTGTCAATATCTCTCTTGAATTGTGGTGCCCAGAATTGGACACAAGATTCCAGATGTGGTCTAACCAAAGCAGAATAGAGGGGTAGCATTACTTCCTAGATCTAGACACTATGCTCCTATTGATGCAGGCCAAAATCCCATTGGCTTTTTTTGCCGCCACATCACATTGTTGGCTCATGTTTAACTTGTTGTCCACGAGGACTCCAAGATCTTTTTCACACGTACTGCTCTCGATCCAGGCATCGTCCCCCATTCTGTATCTTTGCATTTCGTTTTTTCTGCCAAAGTGGAGTATCTTGCATTTGTCACTGTTGAACTTCATTTTGTTAGTTTTGGTCCATCTCTCTAATCTGTCAAGATCGCCTGGCTCGAGAGCAGAACGTGTGAAAAAGATCTTGGAGTCCTCGTGGACAGCATGTTAAACATGAGCCAACAATGTGATTGGCGGCAAAAAAAGCCAATGGGATTTTGGCCTGCATCAAGAGGAGCCTAGTGTCTAGATCCAAGGAAGTCATGCTCCCCATGCTCTATTCTGCCTTGGTTAGACCACATCTGGAATATTGTGTCCATCTCTCTAATCTGTCTAGGTGGGGAGGCCTTTCCCCTTTGGAGTATGGGATGGGGAGGCCATTCCTAAGGTTGTTGTTTGTTGCTTTTTGTTCCTTGTAGCCTTTCCAACCCTCTCCTTCCTTCTCTTCCAGGCTAGCTATGGAGTGGAGGACCCAGAGTACGCCGTGACCCAGCTGGCCCAGACCACCATGCGATCAGAGCTGGGAAAACTCTCCCTTGACAAAGTCTTCCGGGTGAGAAGCAGGAGGGGAATGTGCCTTTTGAGTTGGGTTGGGGGCGGTCATTTGAAGGTTAGATTCTGCATAAATGGAGGGTTGATGTGTCAGGGATTGGCTGTTAGGAATTGTGGGAGTTGAAGTTCAAACTCCTATGGAACACACTCCCAAATAAGGTAAGATCCACTCCCTCCCTCCTAGCTTTTAGAAAAAAAATTAAAATCATGGTTCTGGGACCAGGCCTTTGGACAGTAGATGTATGTAGCATTTTACAGGGGCATTGACTGGAACGGTGATTTTTTGTTTTAATCCTTGTTGATGTATTGTTTTAATTGTGATTTATGTTTAATTGTGGTTTTACTATTATAATTGTTTGTATTGGCATCCTATCAGTGCCCAACGTAAGGCATTGAATCTTGCCATTATTTATGTGCAACCTGCTTTGAGTCCCCCACAGGGGTGAGAAAAGCGGGATATAAATACTGCAAATAAATAAATAAATAATAAAAAACCTGGAGGAGGATCGATGTTTGCCCATTGCGTGCTGTAACCAACCCATAGGACAAAGTGCTCAGTTAAAATCTTGAGATCCTTTTCAAACATGAAATTAGTTTTTTTCAGGATCCTGGACTCTGCCAGTATGCAGCAGAGATTAACCAAACAACACCAGGCATGTGTCAAAGCTGTTTTACTTGAAACATTAACTTAAGCACTTTGTCAGTTTCAAGGTCCCAGTTCACAACATAAAGTAGGAGCTCCCGGTGGCGCAGTGGGTTAAACCCCTGTGCTGGCAGGACTGAAGATGACAGATTGCAGGTTCGAATCCAGAGAGAGCGCAGATGAGCTCCCTCTATCAGCTCCAGCTCCTCATGCCAGGATATGAGAGAAGCCTCCCACAAGGTTGATAAAACATCAAAACATCCGGGCATCCCCTGGGCAACGTCCTTGCAGACAGCCAATTCTCTCACACCAAAAGCGACTTGCAGTTTCTCAAGTCGCTCCTGACACGACAAAAAAACAACAACAACAACATAAAGTTAGCTCACTGCCAAAGAATACAAAGTAAAGACTTCTAGCAAGGAGCATACTACAAATGCCAAGGTCAGAAATAAATGTCCAAGGAGTGAAAGTCTAAAATGTAGTCATCTTTCCACGGGTCAAGTCAGCAAAGCTAAAATTCTAGGGTAGTCTAAGCACAGTAGTCAAGGTCAGTCCAGGTGTTTGTAGTTCATCAAGGTCCACAGCAGGGTAGAAACACAACAAGGTTAACCAACATAATAATCTTCTTGGTTCAAGCTACCAGAAGGTACAAGGCTTACAAAAGTTCATGAAACAGGTCTGGATACCATAATCCACCAACCCAGGGGAAACACCACCAGTATCCATGGCCAAGTATGACAGATACTTTTCTCCCCAAAAAGTAGTCTCTGCTGGGTTCTTGTTATGCAGCTGATCACAGCTGCATCCTCTCTCTTGCAGGCCTCTGCCCTTAATTGCTACCGCCAGTAAGTTCTTACCTTCAGATTACTCTGCCCATTAGAACTAGGAGGAAGATTAACCCCTTCTGTACCTTCTGAAGCATCACCACCTTACAGATCATTATCCTGCGAAGCGTTCTGTATACTAACGACCACCACCGTTATGCATCCCAATCCTCATCACCACCAACTATTAGGCATCCCAACCACCATCCACTGCTGGACATGACAGGTTTTCTGGTCATTTTACTAGTGTTAGGAAAGTCTGTTCTACAATAGGATGACTACTCACAATCTTACAGTCGTTGTCTCCCATTCACTGGCTCACTCTTCACCTTCCCAGGAGCGTGAAAGCCTGAATGCCAGCATCGTGGATGCCATCAACCAGGCCTCAGATTACTGGGGCATCCGGTGCCTGCGCTACGAGATCAAGGACATCCATGTTCCGCCCCGTGTGAAGGAGTCCATGCAGATGCAGGTCAGCCCTCTGGATGGGAGGCGGTGGCTTGTTTCGGGTATTGCCAGGCAGATGGGATTTGCAGTTCTTGTAAAGCTTTGTGGGCCAAATGTCAGAGTCATAGTGTTGATGCACAGTAGCCCAATCTCTCTCTTTTTTTTACTTTCCAATCAAAGACTAAAAATGGAAAGTTTAAAAATACAGTACTTTAATTCTGCATAAGAACTAAAGCAATGTTTCTAAACCTGGGGGTCGGGACCCCTGGGGTGGTTGTGAGGGGATACCAGAAGGGTCACCAAAGATCATCAGAAAACACAGTATTTTTGTTGGTCGTGGGGGTTCTGTGTAGGAAGTTTGGCTGAATGCTGTCATTGATTGCAGGTGAACTACAAATCCCAGCAATTACAACTCCCAAATGTCAAGGCTTATTTTCCCCAAATTCCACCAGTTTTCACATTTGGGCTTATTGAGTATTCATGCCAAGTTTGGTCCACATCCATCATTGTTTGAGTCCAGAGTGGTCTCTGGTTGTAGGTGAACTACAACTCCCAAACTCAAGGTTAATGCTCACCAAACCCTTCCAGTATTTTCTGTTGTTCATGGGAGTTCTGTGTGCCAAGTTTGGTTCAATTCCATCGTTGGTGGGGTTCAGAATGCTCTTTGATTGTAGGTGAACTATAAATTCTAGCAACTGACAAAATATATAAACCTAACTTGCCAAGATTCCAACAGATCTCACAACCTCTAGGGATGCCTGCCATAGATGCAGGCAAAACATCAGGAAAGAATGCTTCTGGAACATGACCAGACAGCCTCGAAAACTCAGAGCAACCCTGCCTATATATTGTTTGATGTTTTTAATGTATTTTTATGGGTTTTTTTTTTACTTTTGGCATTGAATGTTTTGCCATATATGCTGGAAACTGTCCTGAGTCCCTTCAGAGAGATAGGGCAGTCTACAAATAAAGTTTTTTGATTTATTATTATTGGGTTTTATTCCAGCTCTAGGTTAGTAGCAGCTGCGGCAAACTTGAGCCCTCCAGGTGTTTTGGACTTCAACACCCACAATTCCTAGCAGCCGGTAGGCTGCTAGGAGTTGTGGGAGTTGAAGTCCAAAACACCTGGAGGGCCCAAGCTTGCCCACACCTGGTTTATAGGATCCTAAGTGTAACTTTGGGTTCCAGGTGGAGGCCGAGCGGCGCAAGCGGGCCACTGTCCTGGAGTCGGAAGGCACGCGAGAGTCTGCCATCAATGTGGCGGAAGGACAAAAGCAGGCTCAGATCCTGGCCTCTGAAGCAGAAAAGGCAGAGCAAATCAACCAGGCTGCAGGTAAGAGTGGGGTCATACCCTAGATCTGGATCAATAGAACCGTGGGTAGCATTTACTGTGCAACTATTGGGGAATGGGAAAGAATGAGGCATTGAGGTTGATCCTGTTTGGTGGGTTTGTGTTAGACCAGGCTTAGGGTGAGAGCAGGACGTTTGAGGAGTGCTTGGGAAGGATCTGATGTAATCTGAGGAGAGAGCAAGGTGATCTGAGTGTTTTGTGTAAATAGTCTCCTGCTCTGTTCTGTTTAACTTTGACAAAACCAGATCCATAGAAGAGTGATTCCTTTATCAGCCCACAAAAATGTACAAAACACATGGCACAAGCTTTTCAAAGCTCTACTGGCTTTTTAAATCAGCCAAAACGTGTTATTTATTTGTATTTATCATGTCAGAAGTGAAATGAGGGTACAGTTATAATGTATTTTAAAAAGAACACAAAGTTTGCAAACTTTGCCTTATACTAAACATTCTTTGACCAGTAGCTGGCCACTTGGAGTGCTCTGGTGTTGCTATAACAAGGTCCTTCATTGTGCATGTGGCAGGGCTCAGACTGCATTGTAATAGGTGGTCTGTGGTCTGCTCTTCTCCACACTCACATGTTGTGGATTCCACTTTGTAGCCCCATTTCTTAAGATTGGCTCTGCATCTCGTGGTGCCAGAGCGCAGTTTGTTCAGTCCCTTCCAGGTCGCCCACTCTTTTGTGTGCCCAGGAGGGAATCTCTCATTTGGTATCAGCCATTGATTGAGATTCTGGTTTTTAGCCTGCCACTTTTGGACTCTTGCTTGCTGAGGTGTTCCAGCGAGTACCTCTGTAGATCTTAAGAAACTATTTCTTGATTTAAGGCATTGGCATGCTGGTTGATATCCAAACAGGGGATGGGCTGGAGATGTCACTGCCTTGGTCCTTTCCGCGTGTGGAATTCCCTCCCTACTGAAATTAGATCAGCACCCTTCCTTTTGGCCTTCAGAAAGACATGGATGTGGGATCAAGCCTTTGGGCAGTAAGCAATGCCAAAAACATAGGATTTTGTGCAATTGACTTTTGGAAAGGCCTCGGAGTTTGTCTCCTGGATTTGTGATTTTATTGCTTTATTATAATATGTTTCAATATTTAATTTGGTTTAATTTATAGCTTTATGTTATAGTTGGGGTTTTTTCTACCAGGTTTTAATCTATATCTATATCCATCTATCTATCTATCTATCTATCTATCTATCTATCTATCTATCACTCACCCCTTTGCTTCCTTTCCAGGTGAGGCTAGTGCTATTCTAGCGAAGGCAAAGGCCAAAGCGGAGGCGATTCGGCTCCTGGCAGCTGCTCTGACGCAGCAGGTAAGGGGGGGATATGGGGAAAATGCTGTTTCTGGAAACCACGTGGGCCTCTCCCCCAGACTCGGGAGAGAAAGAGAGAAGGCAAGCAAACAAGAAAGCACCCTAAAGCAGTGGTTCTCAACCTTGCTAATGCCGTGACCCCTTAATGCAGTTCCATATGTTGTGGTGACCCCCAACCATAATATTGTTTTTGTTGCTACTTGATACCTGTTATAAATTGTCATGTAAATATCCGATATGCAGGATGGATTTTCATTCACTGGACTAAATTGAGCACAAATACCCAATATACCCAAATGTGAATGCTAGTAGGGTTGGGGGAGGATTGGTTTTATAATTTGGGAGTTGTAGTTGCTGGGATTTATAGTTCACTTATAATCAAAGAGCATTCTGAACTCCACCAGCGATGGATTTAAACCGAACTTGGCACACAGAACTCCCATGACCAACAGAAAACACTGGAAGGGTTTGGTGGGGGTTGACCTTGAGTTTGGGAGTTATAGTTCACCTATATCCAGAGGAGTGCTGTGGATTCATACAATGATGGATATGGACCAAACTTGGCACGAATACTCAATATGTCCAAATGTGAACACTGGTGGAGTCTGGGGAAAATAGACCTTGACATTTGGGAGTTGTAGTTGTTGGGATTTATAGTTCACCTACAATCAAAGAGCATTCTGAACCCCACCAATTATAGAATTGGGTCAAACCTCCCACACAGAATCCCAATGACCAACAGAAAATACTATGTTTTCTGATGGTCTTTGACACCCCCTCACAACCTCCTCAGGGGTCCCGACCCCCAGGTTGAGAAACACTGCTTTGAATCCTCAGTTTCTGAGATGGGGGGGTTGTTTCTTGCTTCTGGCGTTTGTGGGTCTTCAGCCTGTGTTCCTTCAGACCCCAGATTTGTCTCCTTTTTGGGTCATTCTGCCCTCGAGAGATGTTTCCCTTGAAAGGAAGAGTTCTGGGAGCCAGCGTGGTCAACCCTCACTTCCTCTACAGTAGGGTGAAGTGGCCAGCATTTTTTCCTCCTTGGCCTCTCCTCATGTGATAGTTCAGTTGTTCTTAACCTGTGGGCCTCCAGGTGTTTTGACGTACAACTCCCAGAAATGGGAGTTGAAGACATCTCCGGATCCACAGATTGAGAACCACTGTGATAGATGGACAGCCTGCTTTACTCATCATGATTTATTTATTTATCGTGTCAGGAGCAGACAGAACAGTTGCATTGCATTTTTAAACAAACAAACAAAAGACAAAATACAAAGTTTGCAAGCTTGGTAGTTGATTAAATGTCCTTTGATCAGGAGCTGACCACTTGGAGTGCCTCTGGTGTTCCCACAAGGAGGTCCTCTATTGTGCATGTGGCAGGGCCCAGGTTGCACTGCAGCAGGTGGTCAGTGGTTTGCTCTTCTCCACACTCGCATGTCAAGGATTCCACTTTGTGGCCCCATTTCCTAAGGTTGGCTCTGCATCTCGTGGTGCCAGAGCGCAGTCTGTTCAGCGCCTTCTAAGTCGCCCAGTTTTCCAGGGGGGGAGTCTCTCCTTTGGTATCAACCATTGATTGAAGTTCTGGGTTTGAGCCTGCCACTTTTGGACTCTCGCTTGCTGAGGGGTTCTCGCAAGTGTCTCTGTAGATGTTAGACAACTATGTCTTGATTTAAGTCGTTGACGTCCTGGCTGATACCCAAACGGGATGAGCTGGAGATGTCTCTGCCTTGGTGCTTTCACTATTGGCTGCTACTTCCCGGCAGATGTCAGGTGGTGCAATACCGGCTAAGCAGTGTAATTTCTCCAGTGGTGTAGGGCGCAGACACCCCGTGATAATGCGGCATGTCTCATTAAGAACCACATCAACAGTTTTAGCATGGTGAGATGTGTTCGACACTGGGCATGCATACTCAGCAGCAGAGTAGCACAGCGCAAGGGCAGATGTCTTCACTGTGTCACCCATCATGATAAAAATCCTCCTAACTTGAGATGCCCTAAGCATGCCTCACCCAAGAAGATTTTGTAGTTCAAACCTTTGCTTTATGGACCGAGAAGGCTGCATTCCTAGCTTGCACTGGGGGTGCCTTTGCAAGGGAGCTCCTTGTTGGGTTTGGTGACAGAGCCCCTGGCCTTGGTCTGTTCTTTCTCTTTCCTTGTTTTCCTTGTCTGATTGCCTGCCCGTTGCTCCTTCTCACCCACAGAACGGCAACTCGGCAGCTTCTCTCTCTGTGGCCGAGCAGTACGTGAGTGCCTTCTCTAAGCTGGCGAAGGAGTCCAACACCGTCCTCCTGCCCTCCAGCACGGGAGACGTCAGCAGCATGGTGGCCCAGGTCAGTGAGATGGATGAGAGGGCAGGAACCTGTTCATAGAATCATAGAATCAAAGAGTTGGAAGAGACCTCCTGGGCCATCCAGTCCAACCCCATTCTGCCAAGAAGCAGGAATATTGCATTCAAATCACCCCTGGCAGATGGCCATCCAGCCTCTGTTTAAAAGCTTCCAAAGAAGGAGCCTCCACCACACTCTGGGGCAGAGAGTTCCACTGTTGAACGGCTCTCACAGTCAGAAAGTTCTTCCTCATGTTCAGATGGAATCTCCTCTCTTGTAGTTTGAAGCCATTGTTCCATTGCGTCCTAGTCTCCAGGGAAGCAGAAAACAAGCTTGCTCCCTCCTCCTCCCTGTGGCTTCCTCTCACATATTTATACATGGCTCTCATCATATCTCCTCTCAGCCTTCTCTTCTTCAGGCTAAACATGCCCAGCTCCTTAAGCCGCTCCTCATAGGGCTTGTTCTCCAGACCCTTGATCATTTTAGTTTCCCTCCTCTGGACACATTCCAGTTTGTCAATATGTTGAATGAATGAATGAGTGAATAACTTTATTATTGCAGAATGAAATTAAACGCTTTCCCCAGCATACACCACAAGGCAGCACACCCATCCTTCCACACTCTGACCAATGCCACATGAATGCAAAACCATGGAGTTCAACATAGCCACAGCTCTAGGATAAAAGCCATCTCTCAATCTGTTTGTCCTTGCCTTTGTCACCCTGTATCTTCTGCCAGATTGTAACAGCTCAAAAGAAGAAGAATATGCTGGGTGAGATGGATCCTTAAGAATGCTCTGCGCTTTCTTAAGGCTGCAGGACTTAGAAAGTTCTTTCAGAAAGAGGGAAAGAAATGCTTCTCTGTGCAGAAGTGGTAAACCTTTGGAGCGACTTCCTATCTGCCTCTGTACAGTTACCAAACTATGCGCAGATGCAGCAGGTTAGGTCACTCTCCAGAGCACAGCGGGAGAAAGGAGAGGAGACATGATAGCCATGTATAAATATGTGAGAGGAAGCCACAGGGAGGAGGAGGGAGCAAGCTTGTTTTCTGCTTCCCTGGAGACTAGGACGCAATGGAACAATGGCTTCAAACTACAAGAGAGGAGATTCCATCTGAACATGAGGAAGAACTTCCTGACTGTGAGAGCTGTTCAGCAGTGGAACTCTCTGCCCTGGAGTGTGGTGGAGGGTCCTTCTTCCGAGGCTTTTAAACAGAGGCTGGATGGCCATCTGTTGGGACTGCTTCTTGGCAGAATGGGGTTGGACTGGATGGCCCACCATGCTGTTACTCTGGCGATTATCATATATATCCATATATATGTATGTGTGTATGAAAGTCAATATGTGTACGTATTTTATTTTATTGTTTTCGCTTTTATGGTTTTTACATGTATTATGATGTGATTTATTTGCTTTTAATGGATGTATGTATTTATATATGGCATCTAATTGTTGCTTATTTGTATGCCGCCCTGAGTTGCCTTTGGGCCGAAATGGGCGGGATAGAAGTGACGTAAATAATAATAAATAATAATAATAATGTTGGTTTGTATGTATGCTTGTACCACAACCGGCTTGATAGATCTGGACCAAACTTGGCACACAGGCCCTTCATTACCCAACTTAAAATAAATGAGGGGTCTCAAACTTCTCTCTTTTTTAAAAAACTCACCTTTTGGGCCCAAAACAGAAGGAAAGGAAAGAAGCAAAGTGGTGAAGTGGCCTTTTGTCATGTGACTGGAAAAGAAAGGAAGCAAAACAGATTGACTGTTGCTAAGTGACATTTGTGTGAGAGGAAGGGAGAAAAGAAAGAAAGAGAAAAAGAAGGGAAGTAAGGAAGACAAAGGAAAAGGGAAAAGGTATGAGAGGAAGGAAGGCAAAAAAGAAGGGACAAAGGAAAGGAGGGAACAACAACACTTCTCACCCCGGAGGGGACTCAGGGCGGAACACAAGTACACATACACGGCAAACATTCAATGCTGTTTGTATCGACAGTACACAGACAGAACAGAAGGAGGTGTTGTGTCAGTGCCATGGATGGTTGGGCTCAAGTCCACAGGGGGTGCTGTCGCTCCATCCTCTATGACAAAGAGCCATCAGGATTTCCTCATTCCAGCATTTTCTGATCTTCCTTTTCTTTATGGCGTTGTAAAACACCTAGGTGCTTTATCAGTACCTAATTTCTCTAATTACAGCTAAAGCTGTTTTTGAACTGCTTAGGTAAACAGTGAGCAGGGCTCATGGTTGGCCGCTCATGCCAACCCAGGGCTTCAAACTTGCAACCTTTCGGTTGATAGATCTTATAGTTGCTGATGATTTACCAGCTGTGTTAAATGTCTGGGAAGAGAGAGAAAAGGAGAAAGAAAAGGGGGAAAGGCATTATGTGGGAAGGCAAGGAAAGAAAGAAAAAGAAGGCCCATGAGGGAAATAGAGGAAGGAAAGAAAGAGCCACAAAGAGGGCCTGCTCACTGCTGCCCACTCATTAATACCTTGTAAATCAGGCATGAGCCAGGTGTTTTGGACTTCGACTCCCACAATTCCTAACCGCCTACTGGGGAGGGCCGAATCTGGCCCATGACTACTCTAAGGCCACAGCCTGGCTGTGTGAGCGTGTCTGTGGACCACTTCACTAACTTTGCCTTCTCTTTCTCCTTCTTTCCAAAGGCCATGGGCATCTACAAATCCCTGAGCAAAGCCCCACCGCCAAAGGCCCCAGAAGCCGCCAGTGCCCCTTCCCTCCAGGCCAAACAGCAGCCCTTCAGCATCGAACCCTCCGAGACGGACCAGCCGGCCGGCAGCTAACGGAGAGGCCAGCGGGCAACGATGGGGCCACTCCGTTGAGCCCCTCTTGCCTGCCTGCCTGCCATAGGCTGATTGGCTCTCCGTGGACTCTTGTATCCCTCACTCCCTCCACACACAGAGACACACACTTTGGTTTGTTTTCTAATTTGGATTTAATCATGTAATAAAGAGACGTGAGCTGGGCCTTGTCTGCCTTCTTGTGTGGAGCAAGAGGACGTATCGTTCTTGGGTGGGAGGAGAGCTGAAAAGAAACTGGATGATGCCTTATATACACAGATTTGCCAGCAATAATAATCTATATAAATAAAAATGCCATGTTCGTTTGTGGGATTAACAGAACTCAAAACCCACTGGGGGAATTGACACCAAATTTGGACACAAGACACCTAACAACCCAATGTATGTCCTTCACTCAAAAAAAACAGCAAAATGCAGCAGAAGGGACTTAAAAAGCCCCAAAAAGCTAAATGACGAAAAGCTAAATGACAATACAGAAAAAAGGGAAGAAAGGGGGGAGGAAGGAGAAAGAAAGAAAGAAAGGAGGGAGGAAAGAAAGAAGGAAAGGGAGAAGGGAGCATGGAAGCAAAGAGAGAAGGAAGGAAGAAGGAGAAAGAGAGAAGAAAGAGAAAGAGGGAGGAAAAGAAAAGGGGGAAGGAAGGAAAGTTAGAGAAGGAAGGAAGGAGAGAAGGAAAGAAAAATGAGAAAGAAGGAGGAAAGAGGGAAGAAGGAAGAGGGAGGGAAGGAAAGAGGAGGAAAGGAGAAGAAGAAGGAGAAAAAGGGGAAGGAAGAGAAAGAAAGAAAGGAAGAGAGGAGAAGGAGAAGATAGAGAAGGAGGAAGAAGAGGAAGAAAGAGAGAAAGAAGAAAAGTGGGAAGGAAGGAAGGAAAGAGAGGAGGAAGGATGAAACCAAAGAGTGAAATAAGGAATGAAAGAAAGAGGTAGAGAAGGAAGAAAGGAGAAAAAGGGGAAGGGGAAGAAAAAGGGGGAAGGAATAATAGTCCAAATATCTACCTCTACTTCAAAAATTCTTACTATAGGCCACAGCAACACGTGGCAGGGCACAGCTAGTATATCTATATAAATAAAAATGTAATGTTCATTTGTGGGATTAACATAACTCAAAAACCACTGAATGAATTGACACCAAATTTGGACACAAGACACCTAATAACGCAAGGAGTGACCATAACTCAAAAACATTTTATTTTTTTCATTTGGGAGTTGTAGTTGCTGGGATTTATAGTTCACCTACAATCAAAGAGCATTCTGAACTCCACCAATGATGGAATTCACCAAACATGGCATACAGGACTTCCATGACCAACAGAACACACTGGAAGGGTTTGGTGGGCATTGACCTTGAGTTTGGGAGTTGTAGTTCACCTACATCCAGAGAGCACTGTGGACTCAAACAATGATGGATCTGGACCAAACTTGACACAAAAATTCCATATGCCTAAATATGAACACAGATGGAGTTTGGAGGAAATAGACCTTGACATTTGGGATTTGTAGTTACTGGGATTTATAGTTCACTACATTAAAGAGCATTCTGAAACCCACAAACGACAGAAATGGGGCAAACTTCCCTCACAGAACCCCCATGACCAACAGGAAATACTTAAGGCCATCCAGTCCAACTCTCTTCACAAGGGCAAGAAAACGTAATCAAAGCCCTCCTGACAAAGAGCCATCCAGCCATAGATAGATAGATAGATAGATAGATATCTAGCCATAGATATAGATAGATATATATGATTCACACACACACAGATATAGTATCATAGATTTGAAAGGGACCCCTAAAGAAGGACTATGATATGTTGCATGTTCCAGAGTAGGCAAACCAGACAATCTCCACATCAACACTGACAAAGATACAGCAAGAAATACTGTTTACCCACAAGCATAAAGAAATTACATACATTAGAAACCAACACTTTCTCATTACTTTATTTTCCAGATCACCAGACTGGGCCACAGCAACGCATGGCAGGGGACAGCTAGTAAATTAGGTAAAAAGGTAAAGGTAGTCCTCTGACATTAAGTCCAGTCATGTCTGACTCTGGGGTGTGGTGCTCATCTCCATTTCTAAGCCGAAGAGCCGCCGTTGTCCGTAGACACCTCCAAGGTCATGTGGCCGGCATGACTGCATGGAGCGCCGTTACCTTCCCGCCGGAGCGGTACCTATTGATCTACTCACATTTGCATGTTTTCGAACTGCTAGGTTGGCAGAAGCTAGGGCTGACAGCGGAAGCTCACGCCGCTCCCCGGAATCGAACCTGTGACCTTTCGATCAACAAGCTCAGCAGCTCAGTGCTTTAACCCACTGCGCCACCGGGGGCTCCTTGTACACTCACTATGTACATGTTATTTTAATGTCACCCGTTTTGAGTCTCCTTCTGCAGAGAAAAAGCGGGGTATAATTAAACACTTATAATAAGTGGGTTGTTGTAGGTTTTTTCGGGCTATATAGCCATGGTCTAGAGGCATTCTCTCCTGACGTTTCGCCTGCATCTATGGCACGCATCCTCAGAGGTAGTGAGGTCTGTTGGAACTAGGAAAAAAGGGTTTATATATCTGTGGAAGGACCAGGGTGGGACAAAGGACTCTTGTCTGCTGGAGCTAGGTGTGAATGTTTCAACTGATCACCTTGATTAGTATATCAAGGTGATCAGGCTGACTTGGCCACGGTAGTCCACGCTTTGTTTACATCCCGCTCTCTACGTGGGGTTGCCTCTGAAGACTGCCCGGAAGCTGCAGCAAGTCCAACGCCCGGCAGCCGGACTACTAACGGGTGCTGGGTACAGGGAGCACACCACTCCGCTGTTACACCAGCTCCACTGGCTGCCAATTAGCTTCCGAGCACAATTCAAAGTGCTGGTGTTAACCTATAAAGCCCTAAATGACTCCAGCCCTGTTTACCTCTCCGAACGTATTCTCCCCTATAAACCATCAAGATTATTAAGATCGTCTGGAGAGGCCCTGCTCTCGGTCCCACCGGCCTCGCAAGCGTGTCTGTGGGGACGAGGGACAGGGCCTTCTCGGTGGTGGCCCCGCGACTCTGGAACTCTCTCCCACCGGTGGCCAGAACTGCCCCGTCTATCCTGACATTCAGGAAACGGGTGAAGACGTGGTTGTGGAGACAGGCTTTCGATGAATGAGACAGCACCCTAGGATTGTGGATGGAAGATGAGATATACTTGTTTTTAATATGACGACTGACCACCGTAGTTTTAAATATAGTTGTTATTTTAAATGTGTTATTGTAATTATGAACTATGATATTTTACTGATTGTATGTTTTTATGGTTGTAAACCGGGCTGAGTCCCTCTAAGAGGTGAAGAAGCTCGGTATAGAAAACTTTGAAATAAATAAATTAAATAACATCTATAATGGCCTGACAGTGCCTGGAGCAAACTTTTGTTGAGAGGTGATTATAATAAGTGTTGCATGAGCTTGTTGCAGTGAGGTCAGCTAAGGGCAGTCTAAACTTGAGCTGCCACGGTACGCATGCGCAGTACGCTCCCCCTAGCGGCCGTCTCCGGCAGTGCTCCCTGGGAGGGAGGAGGAAACCCTCTCCTGCCGCTAGGGGGAGCGCCGGGTGAGGACGGACCACGCATGCGTGCCCCGGCTACTCTCTTCCTGCCCTTCCGCTTCCGGTCCCCTTCCTCAGAAGCAAGAGGGCAGGTAAAGGAGTTTCTGCACCTGTTCCATCCGCTCCCAGGTGCCTCCACGGAGGGAACTCCCCACGCCTCAGAGGCGCCCCACTGTGGAGAGGAAGCAGGACTTGGGCACAATGGGGAAAGGGAGGTTTTCAAGCAGGGGCAGGATGGCCATCTGTTGGGAAGGATCTGGTTGTGTCATTCCTGCGTGATGTCACCACAGTGCCCCTTGTAGTAGTAGTATTATTATAGTATGTATTATTATTCAAGTTCTTGGTGGGATGGGCATCCCAAGCCACCTTGTCTCTCTCCTGAGGAATCTGTACAGGGACCAAAGAGCAACAAGAAGAACTGACCACGGAACAGGAGACGGGTTCAAGATTGGGAAAGGCGTACGGCAAGGCTGCATCCTCTCACCCAACCTTTTAACTTGTATGCAGAACACATCATGCGAGGATGTGCGGGGCTTGATGAATGCAAGGCTGGGGTAAAATTGCTGGAAGAAACATTAACAACCTTAGATGTGCAGATGATACCACTTTGATGGCTGAAAGTGAGGAGGAGCTGAGGAGTCTTCTAATCAAGGTGAAAGAAGAAAGTGCAAAAGCTGGGTTGCAGTTAAACATAAAAAACCAAGATTATGGCAACAAGAATGATTGACAACTGGGAAATAGAGGGAGAAAACGTGGAGGCCGTGACAGGGTTTGTATTTCTAGGTGGGAAGATGACTGCAGACTCCTTTCCACCTGCTACTAAGGAGGCTGTCCAGGTCCTGAACCGGTGCTTGGCCGCTGTGTCGGACTGGATGAGGGTGAACAAATTGAAACTCAATCCAGACAAGACAGAGGTACTCCTGGTCAGTCGGAAGGCCGAACAGGGTATAGGGTTACAGCCTGTGTTGGACGGGGTCGCACTCCCCCTGAAGACGCAGGTTCGCAGCTTGGGTGTGACTCTGGATTCTTCGCTAAGCTTGGAACCCCAAGTTTCAGCGGTTTCCAGAGGAGCATTTGCACAGCTTCGGCTTGTGCGCCAGCTGCGCCCGTATCTTGGGAAGTCGGACTTGGCCACGGTAGTCCACGCTCTTGTCACATCCCGCATAGATTACTGCAACGCGCTCTACGTGGGGTTGCCCTTGAAGACTGCCCGGAATCTTCAGATGGTCCAGCGCTCGGCAGCCAGGTTGCTAACGGGAGCGGCACTCAGGGAGCACACCACCCTCCTGCTGAACCAGCTCCACTGGCTGCCAATTCGCTACCGGGCACAATTTAAGGTGCTGGCTTTAGCCTATAAAGCCCTACACGGTTCCGGCCCCACTTACCTCTCCGAACGCATCTCCTCCTACGAACCGGAAGAGCGTTAAGATCTTCCGGGGAGGCCCTGCTCTCGGTTCCGCCGGCGTCACAAGTGCGGCTGGCGGGCACGAGAGACAAGGCCTTCTCGGTGGTGGCCCCTCGGCTATGGAATGCGTTACCGGTGGACATCAGGCAGGCCCCTTCGTTACTGGTGTTTCGGAGGAGGGTGAAGACGTGGCTCTACGAGCAGGCTTTCGGCAACTAACTCAATAATGACGGCATTGGACAAGGAATGGAATAAGGATCTTGAGATCGGAATCTGATTCTAAGTGTGGCGTTGATGATTATGTGTTTGTTTGTATTGTGTGTCTTATACATTGTTTAGTGTTGTTTTTTACTGTAAACCGCATAGAGTCGCCGCTTTAGGCTGATATATGCGGTATACAAATGGAGTAAATAAATAAATAAATAAATACTGCAGACGCAGGCTGTGGCCAGGAAATCAGAAGACGTTTACTTCTTGGGAGGAGAGCAATGTCCAGTCTCGATAAAATAGTAAGGAAAATGGGTTTATATATCTGTGGAATGGCCTGGATAGGACAAAGGACTCTTGTCTGCTGGAGCTAGGTGTGAATGTTTCTACTGGAATGTGTCCAAAGGAGGGCGACTAAAATGATCAAGGGTCTGGAGAACAAACCCTATGAGGAGCGGCGTAAGGAGCTGGGCATGTTTAGCCTGAAGAAGAGAAGGCTGAAGAGAGATATGATAGCCATGTATAAATACCTGAGGGGAAATCACAGGGAGGAGAGAGCAAGCTTGTTTTCTGCTTCCTTGGAGACTAGGACTCAATGGAACAATGGCTTCAAACTACAAGAGAGGAGATTCCATCTGAACATGAGGAAGAACTTCCTGACTATGAGAGCCGTTCAGCAGTGGAACTCCCTGCCCCGGAGTGTGGTGGAGGCTCCTTCTTTGGAAGCTTTGAAACAGAGGCTGGATGGCCATCTGTCAGGGGTATTTATTTATTTGTCGTGTCAGGACAACCAGTCAAATTATATTACATTTCTAACAGAACAAAGCAAACAAACAGGCAAAATACAAAATTTGCGAGTTTGGTAGTTGGTTAAATGTCCTTTGACCAGTATCTAGACACTTGGAGTGCCTCTGGTGTTGCCGGAAGAAGGTCCCCCATTGTGCATGTGGCAGGGCTCAGGTTGCATTGCAGCAGGTGGTCAGTGGTTTGCTCTTCTCCACACTCACATGTCGAGGATTCCACTTTGTGGCCCCATTTCTTGAGGTTGGCTCTGCGTCTCGTGGTGCCAGAGCGCAGTCTGTTCAGTGCCTTCCAAGTCGCCCAGTCCTCTGTGTGCCCAGGGGGGAGTCTCTCATTTGGTGTCAGCCATTGATTGGGGTTCTGGGTTTGAGCCTGCCACTTTTGGACTCTCACTTGCTGAGGTGTTCCAGCGAGTGTCTCTGTAGATCTTAGAAAACTATTTCTAGATTTAAGTCGTTTGACTTGCTGGCTGATACCCAAACAAGGGATGCACTGGAGATGTCTCTGCCGTGGTCCTTTCACTATTGGCTGCTACTTCCCGGTGGTGCAGAAGCGACCAGCATCTGTCAGGGGTGATTTGAATGCAGTATTCCTGCTTCTTGGCAGGGGGTTGGACTGGATGGCCCATGAGGTTTCTTCCAACTCTGATTCTATGATGACCCCCTTGATTAGCATTTGATGGCCTGGCAGTGCCTGGGGCAATCTTTTGTTGAGAAGTGATTAGATGTCCCAGATGGTTTTTTCTTTGTTGTTTTGCTGTTATTTTAGAGGGTTTTTTAAAATACTGGTAGCCAGATTTTATTCATTTTCATGGTTTCCTCCTTTCTGTTGAAATTGTCCACATGCTTGTGGATTTCAATGGCTTCTCTGTGTAGTCTGACATGGTGGTTGTGAGAGTGGTCCAGCATTTCTGTGTTCTCCAATAATCTGCTGTGTCCAGGTTGGTTCCTCAGGTGCTCTGCTATGGCTGATTTCTCTGGTTGAGTTAGTCTGCAGTGCCTTTCACGTTTCTTGATTTGTGTTTGGGCAACGCTGCGTTTGGTGGTCCCTATGTAGACTTGTCCACAGCTCCATGGTATATGCAGCGCTCAAATGCAGCATTGCCCAAAAACGAATCTAGAAGAACACTATGTACCAGGAATTGTGTGTAAAGAGAGTCACAGCTGCTGTGGATCTCTTTTCTAAAGGGGTTGGGTTACTAATAGATCAGGACGAGTGCCTGGCTGCTGTGTCTATCTGGATGAGGAGGAACAAGCTGAAGATTAATCCCGACAAGACAGAGGTCCTCCTGGTCGATCGTAAACTGGATCGGGGTATAGGGTGGCAACCTGTGCTGGACAGGGTTACACTCCCCCTGAAGCCACAGGTCCAAAGTTTGGGAGTCCTCTTGGATTCATCACTTACGCTTGAGGCTCAGGCGTCGGCGGTGGCCGGGAGGGCCTTTTGCCAATTAAGACTTTGTGCGCCAACTGCGACCGTACCTCGTGAAGGTACATCTGGCCAGGGTGGTCCATGCCTTAGTCACCTCCAGATTGGACTACTGAAATGCGCTCTACGTGGGGCTGTCCTTGAAAACGGCTCGGATATTTCAGCTGGTCCAACGAGCGGCGGCCAGGTTGTTAACTGGTGCTCCTTACAGGGAAAGGTCAACCCTCCTCTTTAAGGAGCTCCATTCGCTGCCGTTTACCTACCGAACCCAATTCAAGGTGCAGGTTCTTACCTACAAAGCCCTGAAGGGTTTGGGACCTGCCTACCTGCGTGACCGCATTTCTGTGTACAAACCCACACGATCTCTTCGATCATCTGGAGAGGCCCTACTCGCGCTGCCACCTGCATCGCAAACACGATTAGTGGGGATGAGAGAGAGGGCCTTCTCGGTGGTGGCCCCTCAACTCTGGAACTCACTCCCTAAGGAGATCAGGCAGGCCCCCTCTTTGGCAGTCTTTAGGAGGAGCTTGAAAACGTGGTTGTTCCAGTGTGCTTTCCCAGAATAATGAATGCTTAGCACTATGTCCCACAAAGCACTTTATATTGATTTAGGACTGCTTGTATTTCTCCATCAACACCCCATCTCCTGCATCTTGTCCATGTCTAGCATTATTTTTCAAACGTTTATTACATTTGGCCCAGCCATAGTTTTAAATGTGCACTGTATTTGCTTAATGTTATACTATTTGTGTATATGTTTTATTTTTAATTGCTTTGCATTTGTATCTGTTAGTGCTTGTCTTGCTTGTATTGTTTGTATTGCGGGCTCGGCCTCATGTAAGCCGCACCAACTCCCTTGGGGGGATGGTAGCAGGGTATAAATAAAGTATTATTATTATTTATTAATATTATTATTATAACTCGATAAGCCTGCTTTGCTTAACAAAACCAAAAAAGACATTTTGTGGGAGGAAATGTTTACAACACACCTGTCATATGTTTTAGCTCCTGAACACTGGGTTTTATCAGGAGGGAAACTCTTCTGCCTTCCAGAAATTTTGATGTTTGTGGTCCTTGGCTAGACATAGGCCAACTTGGGCCCTCCAGCTGTTTTGGACTTCAATTCCTACAATTCCTAACAACCTACTGTCTGTTAGGAATTGTGGGAGTTGAAGTCCAAAACACCTGGAGAACCCAAGTTGGTCAATTCCTGGGATAGATTCTGAAAGGCAAGGTCTGCCCATGCCCTCAGCCTATGTCTCTTTCCCCCCACAGGATGCAGAGAGTCCCAGTGCTGCTCTTCCTGGCCTGGACCTGCTTCCTCTTCTTCTCCGCCATTGGCCTCTTCACCAGTGGCTTCCTACTCATGCGAGTGGAGCTAGCCAACCACAGCTCCTGCTCTGACGCGTTGGCGTCTTCCTTTCGGGTAGACCTTGGCTCCTGCTGGCTTCCACGACGCTTCTCCAGAGCCATCCTGCTTGTCATTGACGCCCTGAAGTTTGAGTTTGCCCAGTTTGACCCTTCCCTGCAGGAGCCCCGTCCCTATGAGAACAAGCTTGGGTTCCTGCAACAGCTGGCCATTGGGCAGCCCCACCATGGCCGCCTGTTCCGCTTCCGGGCCGATCCCCCCACCACGACCATGCAGCGCATCAAGGGGTTCACCACTGGCTCCTTACCCACCTTCATCGACGCAGGAAGCAACTTTGCTTCGTATGCCATCCAGGAGGACAATCTCATCTGGCAGATGGCACAGAACGGTGAGTGGCTCATGAAGGAGACTTGTTGCATCTCCCCTTTACTCAGCATTGCATGCTTCTTATTCAGGTGCTGCCCTACCCCCTACCCCACCCCACCTCACCTCACTTCAAGATGTCTTTTCCTTTGCTTATCCTTTCCTTTACTAACCTGTTTCATCTGCATATGGTTTATTAATTGCACAGTGACAGACAGGAATTTGGGCAAAAGTATGACAGCTGGGACCCTATGCTACGCTACTTGTGCGACGCAGGTCAGAATTAATGAAGGGAAGTGGGGATAGCAAGGTGGGGACAGGACAGGGGGACAGAAAGGGAGCGTTGGACAACAAACAACCAAACATATTGCTTAAGGCGAGTGAAATAATGTTAGAGTGATTTACTGTTAAATAATAAACAACTGCTTATGAAGACAGTAAACAGGATAGAAATGTTTTCTTTCCCCCTTTCTGGCAAACAATGTTCCCACGGCTGTGACGCAGCTGTGTCTCTCACTCGCTGCGCTGTCTTGCACACGTGTTCCCCTCATTAATTCAGACCCATGTTGCACAACCAGCGTAGGGTCCCAGCTATCATATTTTTGCCAGAGGGAGACTTGTCTCTCCTGCCCAGAGAATTGTTGGTTGCTCACTTTCTCCGCTCTTTGGAAGAACTGTATAATTCCCACTGTCTTAAGAAAGCTCAAAATATTTTTAAGGCTCCATCTCACCCTGGATATTTTTGTTTTGAATTGTTACCATATTATGATATAGAACAGTAGTTGCCAACCTTTGGTCCTCCAGGTGTCTTGGACTTCAATTCCCACAATTCCTAACAGCTGGTAAGATGTTTGGGATTTCTGGGAACCACTAGTTTGGCTGAGGGGAAAAGGAAGGGGCCTGAGGCTGTTAGGAATGGTGGGAGTTGAAGTCCAAAACACCTGGAGGACCCAAGTTGGTCCATGACTGTACTATCTATTCAAAGACTTGGAGGTGAAGCAGTTTGGTTGTCTAATGTTGTGGCTTTCATCTCAGCGAAGGAGGCATCGAAAACCTCTACAGTTACTGTAAGAGCGACACTTTGTGAGTGAAGCTGGAGGAAACAATAGGGATGGGAAGATCAAAGCAAGGATTCCTGAAGCTTGGGAGTGACTGGCTTCCTTAATCTCCTAATGTGATGATCCTTCCTTGAACGTGCCTCCTGCATTTCTTGCAGGGAAAAGGGTGGTCTTCATGGGGGATGACACGTGGGATGGCCTCTTCCCCGGAGCCTTCTTTCGCTCCTACTTTTTCCCTTCGTTCAACGTGAAGGATCTTCACACTGTCGACGACGGGATTTTGCAGCATTTGTACCAGACAGGTGAGTTGTCGTCCTTCCTGCAGGGCTGGGCAGGGCTTGGGTTTGGATTTGGCTGGGCTTCCTCTGTGCAAGGCTGCTGGAAAGAAAAAACCACTGCCTGCCAGGTAGAACTGTGTTGCTGGACTTGGAGGGGCGGGGCGGAGAGAGGCATGTTGGGAGCCTCTTTGAAGCAAGGTCAATCACTTCCCTGCAAATGACCTTGAAGGGGAGCCTTGCCCAGAAGGCTGCAGCTCTGCAGTGTTTGAAATATTTGAAAGGAGGCCACATTGAGGAGGAAAAGGGCAAACTTATTTTCTCCTCCTGCAAATATTGGGACACAATAGAACAAAGGATTCAAATTGCAGGAAAAGAGATTGCACCTGAACATTACAAATAATTTCCTGACAGTTATGTCAATGGTTCTATGCAGTCATAAAACTCCTGTTCTTGCAGAAGTGACTCTATTAGTTCAAGTTAAGGAACCAGGTATCCTAATAATAATAATAATAATAATAATAATAATAATAATAATAATAATAGTAGTAGTAGTAGTAGTAGTAGTAATAGACTTTGGCCTGCACTTAAACACAATTGGCTCTGACAAAATTACCATCTGTCAGCTGCAAAAGACCACCTTACTGTTGCAACTCAGGGTAGTTTTTACCTTGTTCAAGACACCACCACACACCAAGGCTATAGTTTTGTAGTTTATTGAGAAAAAGCAAAATCAAAACAGAGAAATAAAGATGCAAAAGTTCAATAGGCAAAAATAGAGTCTTAAATGCAAAGGCAAGGTTCCCAAGATCCACAGGCAAATAACATGAAGCATAATCCCTTAGCAATGGTCCATGACAAACAGGTAAAATCAGGATCAGAATCCCAGTCTTCAAGAAGCCAGGAGCGTGCTGCAAAAGCCAAGGCAATTCCACAGAAGTTAATGGGTAAGAAGCAACATTGGACTGACAAGAAATGCCTGCCAGCCACATCATTAAATAAGCTTCCCTGACATGAAAGCATTGCGTTGACCTTTGGCTTCCCGCTTGCTGGCAAGGCGTGTGCTTCTGCGAGCCCTTAATTGCAACCGGTCCTGTCTGCTTATTAATTCACCATTATCTTCAAGGCTATACAACTCCTTATCTCTGCCCAGCTAGGCCGGATCACTCTGAGAACTGAAAGGAGTCTCCACATGCGCTTGTGGGATTTCACTGTCTCTATCGAAAGGCATAGCTTGCTGTTTCTTCTTCAGAAGACACACTATCAGCCCCATCAGGAGCATGTACAGGAATCTGCAATCCATCAGCTGCCTCGTCATCCTGCAGAAAGCTCAGAACCTGTGGGTCCCCAGATGTTTTGGCTTGCAACTCCCAGAAATCCTAACAGCTGGTAAACTGGCTGGGATTTCTGGGAGTTGTAGGCCAAAACAACTGGGGACCCACAGATTGAAACCACTGGTGTAGAAGGTCCAGACTGTGGGCACCTCGCCTACTTGCAGTTTGACTTACCGTGTATACTTGAGTATAAGCCAACCCGAATATAAGCCGAGGCACCTAATTTTTTCACAAAAAACTGGGAAAACATATTGACTCGAGTATAAGCCGAGGGTGGGAAATGCATCCACCACAGATACATTTCAAAATAAAAATAGATACCAATAAAATTACATTAATTGAGGCATCAGGAGGTGAAATGTTTTTTTAATATTTACATAAAACTACCTATCTGACCACATCTCTGCCTATGAACCCACCAGGAGTTTGAGATCTTCCGGGGAGACCCTGCTCTCGATCCCGCCTGCTTCTCAAGCTCGGCTGGCGGGGACGAGAGATAGGGCCTTCTCTGTGGTGGCTCCTCGGCTGTGGAACGCCCTTCCTACGGACATTAGACTAGCACCATCTCTAATGGTATTCCGCAAAAAGGTGAAGACCTGGATGTTTGTGCAGGCGTTTGAGTAATTTAGTGCAATCTGGTAATGGAACATAGGAATGGAACAATGGACGACGAACCTGGACTACGCTTGGATGATGAGAAGATTGGGTACGGTTGTTTTTTGTAATAATTGTGCATTGTAATTGCTTATTGGTAATTTATGGATAATGTGTTAAGTCAATTGTTATATGTTGTATGGAACCACTGCTGTTTCTACTGTTTCTACTGTTTGTGAACCGCTGTGAGTCGCCTTCGGGCTTGAGATACAGCGGTATATAAGCAAAGTAAATAAATAAATAAATAAACAAATAAATAAATAAATAAAACTGTAATTTGAGATAAGACTGCCCAAATCTGATTAAATCATTACATATCTTCAATGTAAATGTGCTTACGTATCCTTCCAACAATAATAAAGAGAGTAAAATAGTAAATATAATAATAACTAGCCATCCCCTGCCACTCATTGCTGTGGCCCAGTCTGTTGATCTGGAAAATAAAGTAATGAGAAAGTGTTGGTTTCTAATATATGTATTGTCTTCATGTCTGTGGGTAAACAGTATTTCTTGCTGTTTCTTTGTCAGTGTTGATGTGGAGAGTGTCTGGTTTGCCCACCCTGGAACATGCAAGATGTCATTGTCCTTCTTTAAGGGTCCCTTTCAAATCTATGATACTGTGTGTGTGTGAATCATATCTATCTATCTATCTATCTATCTATCTATCTATCTATCTATCTATCTATCTATCTCTATTCCTGGATGTCTCTTTGTCAGGAGGACTTTGAATATGTTTTCTTGCTCTGATGAAGGGAGTTGGATTGGATGGTCTTAAGTATTTTCTGTTGGTCATGGGGGTTCTGTGTGGGACGTTTGCCCCGATTCTGTCGTTCGTGGGGTTCAGAATGCTTTTTGATTGTAAGTGAACTGTGAATCCCAGTGACTACAACTCCCAAATGTCAAGGTCTATTTTCCCCAAACTCCATCTGTGTTCATATTTGGGCATATTGAGTGCTTGTGCCAAGTTTGGTCCAGATCCATCATTGTTTGAGTCCACAGTGTTCTCTGGATGGAGGTGAACTGTAGGTGAACTATAATTCCCAAACTCAAGGTCAATGCCCACCAAACCCTTCCAATATTTCCTGTTGGTCATGGGAGTTCTATGTGCCAAGTTTGGTTCAATTCCATCGTTGAATTGAATCGTTGAGTTCAGAATGCTCTTTGATTGTAGGTGAACTATAAATCCCAGCAACTACAACTCCCAAATGACAAAATCATATTTTTGAGTGATGGTCACTTCTTGTGTTGTGAGATGTTTTGTTGCCAAATTCGGTGTGATTTCGTTCATTGGTTCTTTTGTTTTTAAGGTACTCATTATGCACAGAGCATTTATATATATATAGATAAAGTAAAATAATGGAAATGCAATAATAACAGTAATAATAGAGTAGAATAATAAATGTAATAATAGAGTAAAATAATAAATGCAATAATAATAAAGTAAAATAATAAATGTAGTAATAATCATAAATAGTGTAAAATAATAAATGTAATAATAATAGGGTAAAATACTGTAAATGTAATAATAATAAAGAGAGTAAAATAATACATGAAATAAAAATAATACTAATAACAGAGTAAAATAATAAATATCCTTGACTCGAGTATAAGCCGAGGGGAGATTTTTCAGCCTAAAAAAAGGAACTGAAAAACTAGCCTTATACTCGAGTATATACAGTACTTTCTCTCTCTCTCACTTCTTTCTTCCTCAGTGGACGGTGGCGAATGGGACCTGCTGATTGCCCACTTCCTGGGCGTGGATCACTGTGGCCATAAACACGGGCCAGATCACCCCGAAATGGCCAAGAAGCTCTCCCAGATGGACGAAGTGCTCAGGTGAGCCCCCCTCTTCCATGCTCTTCCTCCTGCTTAACCTGGGCCACGCGCCATAGAAAAGGGTGAGCACTTTTCTGAACCACCATGTTCTTGTCCACTGGGGTTGAGGAAGGGTGTTTGGGGCTGGGCTGTTATAGCTCTTCTTCTTGTTTCGTCAGGCTTAAAATGTGCACCCATTCTTCCATGGTTGGGGTGCATAGCAGTACAATGCAGAATAACGTCTCAGAGTATGAGCCAGAAAGGGCCTGGGTTGCGTCATTGGACTCAAAGGGTGGCTCCTCGTAAAGCAGCAGTGCGGATACAGTAGTCAGCACGTACCCTCTTTCCAGTTGTCACATGCGACTGGGTCTGAGGGCGCAGCTCATGTCCCATGTTGTTGATGGATAGGTCACTGGTTGACCACCTGGCGAATGACACACTGCTCTTGGTGGCAGGGGACCACGGCATGACGGGGACTGGAGACCACGGGGGAGACACCGAGGAGGAGGTCAACGCCGCTCTCTTTGTGTACAGCAAAGCACCCTTGTTTTGGACGCCTCCGCCTCAGGTGAGCAGGAGGGAGGGCAGGGCTGTGTGCATAATATTGAGCAGTGATCAGTTTATAGGCCCCCAAGGAACTCTGTTGACTCTGGGAAATGTGTTTGTTTTATGTTTATTTTATGTCTGATATAACAAGTTGTTTAACTTTTATTCTAATTGGGTAAGTTCTAATTTGTTTTTATATGTTATGGAATTTAATTTTTGTTATGATGTGTCTTATTAGTTCAGGCATTGAATGTTTCCCTTTTTTGTGATTGGAATCCACCTTGCATCCCTTTGTGGAAATAGGGTGGAATATCAATAAAGTTTTATTATTATTTGAAATACAACAAGATTAGTACACAACAAACAAGATTATTATGCTGGCTGTTGTATTGGATCATACATCGGACACTTCCCAAGTGCCTAGAACTATGTGATGTATCAGTGAATAATGTGCGCATATTATTTTTATTATTTGAAACACAACAATATGAGTCCACAGAAGACAAGATCACTCTGCTGGCTGTTGTATTGGATCACTTGTTGTTGTTGTTGTTGTTGTTATTATTTGAAACACAACAAGATGAGTTTACAACAAACACTCTGCTGGCTGTTGTATTGGATCACATGTTGGGGACTTTCCAAGTGTCTAGGACTGTGTGATGTATCGGCGAATAATGCATGTGGATCCCAGTAAGCTGCTGGCAGATGGTAATTTTGTCAGCGCCAATTGTGTTTAAGTGCAGACCAAGGTGAGATGTGAGGATGTGATCTTTAAACAGGGGCTGGATGGCCATCTGTCAGGGGTGATTTGAATGCAATATTCCTGCTTCTTGGCAGAATGGGGTTGGATTGGATGGCCCATGAGGTCTCTTCCAACTCTTTGATTCTATGATTCTTTGATAAGGTCTTGAGGCACTGCACCTAGTGGGCCAATCACCACTGGGACCACCTTGACTGGCTTGTGCCAGAGTCTTTGCAGTTCAATCTTTAAATCCTCATATTGTGTCAACTTTTCCAGTTTTTTCTCTTCAATCCTGTCACCCAGGATTGCAACATCGACAATCCACACTGTTTTTTAACACGATTGTGAGGTCAGGAGTATTATGCTCCAAAACTCTGTCTGTCTGAATTCGGAAGTCCCAGAGGAGTTTGGCGTATTCATTTTCTGTAACTTTTTCTGGCTTGTGATCCCACCAGTTCTTTGTCGCAGGCAGATGGTCTTTGTGGCACAAGTTCCAATGAATCATTGGAACAACAGTATTGTGCCTCTGCTTGTAGTCTGTCTGAGCGATCTTCTTGCAGCAGCTGAGGATGTGATCTATTGTTTCATCTGCTTCCTTATTATTATTATTGGCCAAAGGAACTATTAGCTTTGGGGCCTTATGAAAGGGATATTGGTGTCCAACCCCAGAAATTTCACACCAGGAACTCAGGTTTCCAACTAGGATGGTGAGGAGAGCACATCCGTGGGACATGTGTGGCCCCAGATTTCACCACACCCCCTACATGCAGTTTCTTCAGACATGCCAGACTCTCCCATGTCTGCCTTTTTCTGCTGTATTCCTGAAAGATGGCTTCTGGATTATTGAGATATGGATCATGACCTGTTAGGATCGTAACCTATCGGGTAGCAGAGTTTCAGAAGTGTTCCTTTAGTTTATTGGGTAATAGACAATCACTGGACACATAAATATCTTATTTCTATTCGATGCTCTCAGTAGGCAAAGATTTAAATAGATTTCTTTAAACTAGCAAGTTTGTTTTACTTACAACTTCATGTATCTAAATATACAGGCACATTTCTTGTTGGGTTAAACTTTGAAACGTTTCAGTTTGCATCTTTCATTTATAGTCTTTAACCGTCTCTTCAAAACTATACATCTCTCTTTCATAACAGTCTACTTCCAAGGAACTCATGCCTCAACAGTTTTCTAATTTCCTACACTGGCTTCTGTGCTCAAACTGACTCAAGCCTCAGCTGTCATCCCTTTAAGGTGCACTCTAAACAGTCACTGAACCAGACCCATGGTCTGCAGCCCCTCTCACTGCCTCAAGTATATAGAGCTAAGAAAACTCCAAACCAAAGAAGACATACATTTCAGGAAATAAACAAAACATTATAAACAAACAAAACATTAAAGAGAGGAGGCTTGGATGGGATGCGGTGTTACTTCTGGTCAACAACAGGGATAAAGTACAGCCATTCTTCCAAGGGTTTGGGGAGCGACTGGGAGGAGATTGCCCCCAACCTCTTAACTGCTCTCTTGGGCAATTGAGTGTGAGGCAGACAAGCAGGCCGTCTCTTTACCTTGTTCCCTTTGTTCCCTTCCTCCCTCGGTTCAGGAGCCACAGACGGTCCCGCAGGTGAACCTGGTCCCCACCCTGGCCCTCCTCCTGGGCATCCCGGTGCCTTACAGCAACATCGGGGAAGTGATGGATGACCTCTTTGCCACCGAGGGTGATGCTGCCACCTCGGTCCTTGCCCAGTTGGCAGCCTACAACGTCAATGCCAGGCAGGTGAGAGAAGCCTTCGGAAGCAAGGCTCTGCATCTCCTCTTCCAAACAATGATTTGGCCCTTGCCCTTTTATGACAGGGGATAAACTACCTCAGAGGGTGATGGGCTCTCCCTTTTTGGAAATCTTTAAATATAATCTGAATGGGGACCTTTTGGTAGTACTAGAATTGTATATGGGAGGCCAGCATGGTATAATGCTTGGGTGTTGAAATAGGATGCTGGGATGCTAGGACCAAGGTTCGAAACCCACCTTGGGCAAAATAGCATGCTCTCAACCTCAGAGGAAGGCGATGTTGAACTCCACTTAACACACACACACACACACACACACACACACACACACACCAGTCCAAGGTAAAATAGCAAGCAGTTTATTGAAGAATATATAAAAAGCAATTCAGCAAAATAGTATCAGAAAGCAAAGTCCAAAAACCAGAGGTAATCCACAAAAAACAAGGTACATGAGTAGCATCCAAAAACCATGAATACAAGAGCAGAGGAAATCTAAAATATGAAATTCAAGACAGTCCTCAACACTTGGAAACAGGAACAAACATGGAACATGGCACTCGAAAATCTCTTGACAGGAGTTCTATCCTAAATCTCCAGTGTTGCTTCCACTGACCAAAGATTCAGTTGGCCTAGCTAATGTAGAGAGAAAAGTGTGGCTTTTCCTTTGAGAAACTGATACAGACTTCCTCGCTAACAAGTGTTTGACCTTTGGACTTTCTCGTGTGAAAGTCTATGTTGACAAAACGTAATCTGACCACCTGGACTTTCGCTATCATCCTCTTCTGTTAGAATTTGTCTTTCAGCCAGAGACTGCTCATTTTCAGTCTCTAAAATCTCTAGCCGCTCCTGGTGACTTTCCTACAGACAGGCAGACCCAGAATCCCCTGTGTCAACAGGCTGACTAACAGGCCCAGAAACCCTGGAAGTCCCAGAGAAATCAGGTGGAGGCACAATCAAAGGCTGAACTACAACAGGCAATGGCAAAACTGAAAAAAACATTGGGGGGGGGGGGGGATTTTGTAATAATTTTACCTTAGGTTTGCCATAATCCCTAAACAACTGGAACACAAACAATAACTGTTGTGTACACTTGCATGGTGGAAAACTGGACTAGATGGCCTCTGAGGTCCCTTCAAGCAGTCTTAATCTGTTGCTGCTCTCATATCTGTGTAAAGTAGAGAGTTGATGGTAAAGCTTTTCCCCCCTACGCTGCTCTTTGGAGGCTGCCCCCTCCCCTTCCTTCTGATGATTTAGATGGTGGCATTCTGCCCTGGATGATGGGTGGGGCATCATTTGGTTCAGCCCCTGTTCAAGGAGGGTCCCTGTAAGTAAGTAAGTAAAACTTTATTTATAGACTGCCCTCTCTCCCTGAGGAGACTCAGGGTGGTTTACACACCAAAAAAAAGGCAAACATTCAATGCCCTATGCAAATACAAACATCTCAAAAATAATACCCAATAATAATAATCATCATCATTATCATCATCATCATCATCTTTATTTAATACCCTGCCACCATCTCCCCAATGCGGCTTACGTGAGGCCAAGCCCAACAGCATATTACAATAAAGTAAAACCAAAACACAATAACAACACAGTAAAATACATACAACATATGAGTACAAAAACGATAAAGCAAAATCATACACAGTAAAATAAATAACATAACAATGAGCGGGCCGCATGTACAAGATAAAACTAAGATACTAAAAATACTAAAATCAGGATGAGACAGGGATGGAGCAGATTGTTTGTGGGGAGAAACTCATAAGGAACGGGGTCATAAATATAGACCTTCATACAGGTGGGGAATATATTCTGGAGGGAAAACAATTGAGGGGGAGCAACTGTTTTTGATAATATGGCTACTCTCCAAAAGCGCATCAGAAAAGCCAGATTTTGAAATCCCTCTTGAAAATTTCTAAGGTGGGGGCCTTCCTAATAATAACCATAAACTTATGACAAAAGAAATTAACATCAAACTGGAAAACATAATATGAATAGCCAAATAAACATAATTATAGTAATAACATAATTAACAATACATAAACCCTGAGAAAATAATTAAAATACAGAAAAGTGGTTATCAAGGTTGTCTCTACACTTGAGTGACTTGACTAACCTTTATAGGTTGACCGCTTCCTGCACACCTACTCGCTGGCTGCCCAGGACATTCCAGCAGAAAAGTTGGGGCGACTCCAAAGCCTGTTTTCGGCCACTGTGGAGGAACACGAGCAAGTCTTGGCCCAGGCCAGCTTCCCGGAGCTGCCTCAGCTGGAGCGGCTCCAGGGCCAGTTCAGGCAGTACCTCCGAGAGGCCCGGGCTGTCTGTGCGGAGTCCTGGGCCCGCTTCCACCTGATCCGCATGCTCTCTGGCTGCGCCCTCCTGACCTCCTCCTGCCTGCTGTGCTACGTAGCATCCCGGGTGGCCACCGGCCTGAGCTTCTCTTACCGCCGCCTCCTGTGGTACCCCTTGCTCTGGGGGGCAGCAGGGGTGGCCGGAGCGGGAGCGATGCATCTCTCTGGCGTGGCCACAACAGACTTGTTGCTTCTGTCTTCCTGGGCAGCAGCAACATCTCAGGCGGGCTTCTTCTGGCATTGCTGGACCGGACGCGCAGACAGATCCCACGCCACCAGTGCCCGTCTCCCATTCGGGGGTCTCAGCCTGAGACAGAGGATGCGAGTGGGGCTGGCTCCTGCCTTTGCCATCCTGTTGCTCCGCTGCGGCGCCATGTTTTCTGATAGTTTTGTGATGTCCGAGGCTCATGTGGTCCCTTTCCTGTTGATATCCTTGGTGCTGCTGTTGGTGTTGGGGCTTCACTGGAACGGGCGGCTGCGGGAAGGCTCCACAAAGTCCTGGCGGCTGCTTGGCTTCCTGGGTGTCATTGTAGCCACGGCACGTCTCTTGGGGCTTTTCCATCAGTGCCGAGAAGAGACTCCCGCCTGCCACTCCTCCACGTTGCTGGCTCCGTTGTCCAAACTTCAAGACCCCCAGGCCAAGAACCTCTCCTACTTCCTGTGCCTGGCTGTGCTCGCCTCCCTCGCTTGGGGCGTGCGCCGCTGGTTGCGCCACTACGGCAACCTCAACAGCCCGAGTGCCCCCGTGTGCTTTGTGCGCTGGGGCTTCCCACTGCTGGCCCTCGGGATCGGCGGCTACTGGGCCGTCACTTCGGGGTCGGAGGACGATCTGGCCAAGCTCCGTGCCTGGGTGCAGCTGGCCTTGGTGGCCTTCCCACGGGGAGTCTTTGCTCTGGCGGCGGTAGGGCTGCTCCTCCTCCTCTGCGACCCCGTCACCGTCTTCGTGAGGGACAGCCGGGATGCAGACCCGGCCATGGGGGCACCCATTGTGTCTCCCAGCTCCCAGGCTGAGCTGCTCCACGTCATCCCCCAGCTCTACCGCCGGATGCAGGAGAGCCTGAGGAGCCGGCTGGACGCGGGGAAGGATGGAGACAGAGCTACAGTGGAGGCCTACGGACTCGGCAGCGTCTACTCGGCCGCTCTGCTGATCTCCCTGGCCCTTCTGGGCTTCCTGCTCATGATGTTGCACAGCGAGCGGATCAGCCTGGTCTTCCTGCTCCTGTTCTTGGAGGCCTTCGCCCTACTCTGGGTGCAGGCCTATGCCGTGGGCCTCTCCTCCTCTTCTACCTCTGAGTCTGGTGAGTAAATAAACAGAGACAGCAGGGGAAGCATCTGGACCCCGTCGGTGTCTTTATGTTCCTTCGCCAGGCATGGGCAAACTTTGTTGGGCGAGTGGGCTTATTAAAAAAAAAAAGACCCTCCTCATAAATGCACAGAAGAGTAACTCATGCCCAGTGTTTATTTTAAAAATTTTAATTTATTACATCTGGCCTGGCCATAAAGTTTTATATTCTCTGTGTTATTGTTTATATGTGAGTTATCGTAATTGTACTGTTTTATTTGCTTGCTGTTTTGTTTTTACTGATGTGTTGTTGGGCTTGGCCTCATGTAAGCCACCCCGAGTCCCCTTGGGGAGATGGTGGCGGGGTATAAATAAAGTATTATTATTATTATTATTATTATTATTATTATTATTATTATTAGCAGCAGCAGCAGCAGCAGCAGCAGTCTGACCCAGCACCAGTAACCCAAAGTGATAAAAAGAATAAAAACACACAGACCAATGTTATCTCCCACATAGGAGGCCCCTCTCTGTAGCAAAATAATATGGTTACACTATTTACAAGGACAAGGATTCCGTAACACAAACCAATACATAGTAGCTTTTCACACTGGAACTTTCTCACACGAGGCTTCTCTCACACAAGGCTTCTCTCACGACGAACTTCTACAGGAGCTTTACACACAAGGCCTTCACCCTGGGCCTTCTTTCTCACAGCAAGCCTTCTCACACAAGGCCTTCTCGTCGACTAAGGCCTACCTCACAGACTAAGGCCTTTCTCCCACTGAGGTTTACCTCAGACTCCTCAGGACGACACTAGCTTTGGCCCATTAACTCCAAAAGGCTTTGGCCTACTAACTCTTTCAGTGCTTGACTCACACTTTTGCAATAAAAAATATCCAGATAATTTTTAATATTTCTGACAAACTTTGGCCCTCATTTTTGATATTTCTGACAAACTTTGGCCGTCCAGGTGTTTTGGACTTCAGCTCTCAAAATTACTAACAGCCGGTTAGTGGTTACACTATTTACATTAGTGGTTACACTATTTACAAGGACAAGGTTTCCATAACACAAACCAATACATAGTAGCTTTTCACACTGGAGCTTTCTCACATGAGGCTTCTCTCACAACGAACTTCTACAGGAGCTTTACACACAAGGCCTTCACCCTGGGCCTTCTTTCTCACAGCAAGCCTTCTCACACAAGGCCTTCTCGTCGACGAAGGCCTACCTCACAGACTAAGGCCTTTCTCCCACTGAGGTTTACCTCAGAGTCCTCAAGACAACACTAGCTTTGGCCCACTAACTCTAACAGGCTTCAGCCTACTAACTCTTTCAGTGCTTGACTCACACTTTTGTAATAAAAAATATCCAGTTAGTTTTTAATATTTCTGACAAACTTTGGCCCTCCAGGTGTTTTGGACTTCAGCTCTCATAATTCCTAACAGCCAGTTAGTGGTTACACTATTCGCAATAGTGGTTACGCTATTTACAAGGGCAAGGTTACCATAACACAAACCAGTACATAGTAGCTTTTCACACTGAAGCTTTCTCACATGAGGCTTCTCTCACAACTAACTTCTACTGGAGCTTCACACAGTAGCTTTACACATGAGGCCTTCAACCTGGGGCTTCTTTCACCAAAGTTTCTCACAGTAGGCCTTCTCATAGACAAAGGCCTGCCTCACAGACTAAGGCCTTTCTCCCACTGAGGTTTACCTCAGACTCCTCAGGACAGCACTAGCTTTGGCCCACTAATTCTAACAGGCTTTGGCCTACTAACTCTTGTAATAAAAAATATCTAGTTAATTTTTAATATTTCTAACAAACTTTGGCCCTCCGGGTGTTTTGGACTTCAGCTCTCACAATTCCTAACAGCCTACCGGCTGTTAGGAATTGTGAGAGCTGAAGTCCAAAACACCCGGAGGGCCAAAGTTTGCCCATTTATATTTTACTGATTTGTTTAGTTTTTATTGTATGTTACGTTTTTAATTGAATTTATGACATTGTAAGCATTTAATTTTGCCCTGTTAACCACCTTGAATGACCTACGGGCTGAGAAAGGTGGTATACAAATACAGTAAATAAATAGATGCACAATTATTTATTTATTTATTTGCGATATTTCGATCCCACCTTTCTTGAACCCGAAGGTAACTGAAGGCGGCTTTACAACATAGACATCTTCTTGTAACCCTTAGAGCTTGTTGCAGTTCAAAGAGGGGGAGACTGTTGGGGGTGGCAAAAGCTGTTGGGGGTGGCAAAGTCTGGAGGAGTTGCAGGGGCTGCCTTTGCAGCCTCCCCCCCCTCCCCAGCTAATGAGAATTGGTTCCCTCTCCTGCACCAACTGTGGGAAGGTGACAACACTGTGTTTCTGTCTCTCTGTGTCTGTTTCCAGTGGCTCCCTCCTTAGAACTTTCCACGCTCTTTCTTCTCTCCTCAGATCCTTTCTCGGTGCCCTGGTCTGCCGTCATGGCTTGGGCTCTTGCGGCCGCTCAGTTCTTCTATGCCACCGGCCACCAGCCTGTCTTCCCCACCATCCACTGGAACGCGGCCTTTGTGGGCTTTCACCAGGGGCATGACTCCACCTGGCTGCCGGCCCTTCTGGTTGGGGCCAATACCTTCGGCTCACACATCCTCTTTGCAGGTGAGCCCTCCCTTTCCCTGTCCTCTGTGAGGAAGGAGAGCAGCATTGGTCTTTACCTGCCTTGCTCAGGTCCTGAAAACTCGTAGCAGTGATGGTTTGGGAAAAAAACAGCATTCATAACCTTTTTGAAAAGGAAAAATGATGTTATATCCTTCTGGCAAATGTGACTCTCCCTGAGCATCTGAAGACCACCTTTTGAAAAAACACTAGTCAAGGAAGGGCATAACCTTGTTAGAAGTCAACCCTTTGAAAAAAGTTATATTCACAAGCATTCATGTAAATGGCACACAGGTAACTTAGCTATTAAACTGATAAACCATGTCTTTGAACTGCCAGGGATAAAGACATTCCACTGCACAAAAAAACCACATTTATTTATTTATTTATTATTCGGACTTATATGCCGCCACTCCCCTGGGGCTCAGAGCGGCTTACAAGAATGGCTAAAATCTAACGTTATTTAAAAACAATTTAAAACAATTTAAAAGCAGCAGTATCAAAAATCAAAGGCCTGTCGAAACAGGTATGTCTTACATGCCCTGCGGAAAGCTGATAGGTCCCGCAAGGCACGGACTTCAGGTGGCAGAGTATTCCAGAGTGATGGTGCCACTGCTGTGAAGGCTCTGCATCTGGTTGCTGTTAGACGCAAGGTCTTGACACTGGGAATTTCCAATAGATTTTGGTCCTCAGAACGGAGGGATCTCTGGGGTTGGTAGGGGGTGAGGCGGTCCCTCAGGTACATCAGCTAGCAGAGTTTTGAAACGTTTTGTTGAAGTTGAATTTGAAATTACAGTTGCCCAAAACATTTATTTATTTCCCCATCGTGGTCCCTGTGAATCACACATATGGTAGTTTCTGCGCCTGAGGGGCCTGAAAGCTGGGCAAGAAGGCTCTCTGCAGCTCTGAGTCCAACAAAGCTCCAGTAAATTGGATTCGGCATGTAGGCTGCAGATGAGATTTCTTCAGGTTCACAATGAGACCTAGGGACTGGAGGAGAGAGAGTGTGGACAAACATGTGCCTCCAAATGCTTGCGTTACTGCGGCACAAGCATCCAGTCATGTATGTACGGATAAACCGTAATGCCCCTAGTGTGGTGAGGGGAGCAAAGCCCGCTCGTAGAGTGCTGCCTTAGGTCTGGACACCCTATTCTTCCGTGTTTGAGGCGTAAATGCCATACAAATAGGGCAAGACTGGGTTAGGTGCCTTTCCCCCAAACAGAGAAGGCATAAAGAGTGGCCATCATTGTCAGATTAGCTAGCTGAGAGTGAGGCACAATGGCCATGGCAACCAAAACGACTAAAACCAAGGGAAGAGAGTCAATACAAGGGCGGTCCATGTCAAAATAAATGCTGTAAATAAATAACTCCTCTCATCTCTCTCTCTCTCTCTTTCTTCCTCTTTCCCCCGAGGCAGTTGGGTGCCCTTTGCTTCTTCTCTGGCCCTTTCTCTGCGAAATGCCTCGCTCCAAGGGAGGGAAACCCAAGGCGGAGGTTTCTGACAGAGAGGAGCAGATGATGGAGATGAGGCTCCGTGAAGCTCCGGAGAAGTTTTCAGCAGCATTGCTGCAGCTTGGACTCAAGTACCAGCTTGTTCTGGGGGTTCAGGTAGGCACATGGGAGTAAAAGCCAAGGAGGGCCTTTGGGGAGAGCATGCACAGATGTGCCAGCATGGGGTTTGCTGAAAGATCAGATGCTGAGATAAGGATGAAAAGAACAAAAGACTGGGAAAGGCATCTCTTCCCTAAAAGCACATTCTTGCAGACACTTAAGCACACCTCTGAGGATGCTTGCCATAGATGCAGGCGAAACGTCAGGAGAAATGCCTCTAGAACATGGCCATATAGCCCGAAAAAACCCACAAGAACTGACTTAAGCACATTCTTCTAAGAGTGGATCTTCCTGTGTGGCAGAAAGGAGTGGGACGATATAACCCTTGGGGTCTCTCCCAGCTTATAAGACCACAAAAGCAACAAGATACCATTTCTATGTGCAGTGTTGTCCCGTTGCACTTTGCTCTGGAAATTGCTGAGCAGCCAGGCTCTTAAGGTATCCTCTCAAATATGGAGACATCCCTTATAGCAGTGATATTATTCCAATGTGCCTTCAATGATTGAATATAGGACACTCCCTGACCAAAATGACCTCAGAAGCACTTTATTTTATGGTTCATGCAATTAAATCCTTCCTCATCCCCGGATCCCCTTCACGACAATTTTACACTGCCCTATCTCCCAGTGTTTTTAAAATTTAAAATTTTATTCTTGAATTGGCCCTGCCCAGTGAAACTCCTTTGTGTTTTGATGTTTGATTTTATATTGCAGTGTTGTCTATTATATTGGTTTTTGCATTTTATGTTTTTGTGTAATACTGTGTTTATTGTATTGATGGGCGTGGCCTTATGTAAGCTGCTCCGAGTCCCCCTGGGAGAGATGGAGTGGGGTATAAATAAAGTTGTATTATTATTATTATTATTATTATTATTATTATTATTATTAACCAGTTAAAAATCAGGAGCAAACCTGGTTGTTGTTGTTTTTGAACCCCTAAACTGCCCCCATGGGTAAGGCCTTGCTTGGAACCACCTTTTAATTAATATCTCCCTTGATGAGTCCTTTTGGGAAAATAGGTTTGTATATCAATAAAGTATTATTATTATTATTATTATTATTATTATTATTGCCCCCCCCCCCCCAATTCACCCACCTCTAACCCATTCTGTTGTTGCTTGGTCTTCATGGTCTTCATTTGCATACTGTGGCCGTATGTAAGCCGCTCTGAGTCCCCCTGGAAGAGATGGAGTGGGGTATAAAAAAAGTTGTATTATTATTATTATTATTATTATTATTATTATTATTATTATGTCAATCTTGTAGCCTCCTGGTGTTTTGACCTTCAGCTCCTCAAATCCCTAGCCATTAGACAAGCTGCCTGGGGCTTCTGGGAGTTGGAGACCCAAACACCTGGAAAGCCAGAAGTTTAACACCTGCCTTATAGAAGGGGACTAAGTAAGATGGAAGAAGGGATCACTCTATTTGTCTCCATCTGCAAAATTGTGGGTGCTGCTTGCCCTCTGCCACCTCCACCTCCAGGTCTGGCCTGGGAATATCTGAAGGTGCTCAAGTTGCCTGTGAAGTCATGGAATGCAAAGCCTCTGTGAGTAAGGATAATTTTATGCATGTGAAATACCTATGGCATTGCTTCCTTTGTCTGCACCGAGTGTTCATTTGGTTGAACTGGACTGACACTCTAGAAGTCTTCCTATTGTTTCTCCCATTCCAATGGAGAACCTCCTCTCTCCCTTTAGTACAGAATTATTTATTTATTTACAGTATTTGTATACCGCTTTTCTCACCCCGAGGGGGAATTAGCACCAGTTCTTTTTGGAGGGAGGTCTTTTTGTTAGTTACCTGAGCTGCTAATTGCACCTTTGAAGGCAGACTGGGGAAACAAAGATGGACGGTGTGAAACACCCCAAGCCTTGTACCGCAGCTGGCACTCCTAGCACTCAGGTCCCATGAAGGGACACTGGCCTTCTGGGACAGTCAGAATTGAGCAATACATTCCAGTGAAGCCTTGTTCTTTCCTTTTTGTGTCTGGCTTTTAGTTCTTGTGCATCCATCTGTCTCCTCTCCTTTTTCCAACAGCTCCTGGCATGTGTCTTGGCTGCCATTATCCTCAGAAGACATCTTATGGTTTGGAAAGTGTTTGCCCCAAAGTAAGTTTATGGCCTATTGTTGAAAGGGGTGGCGTTCTGGCGTGTGTCCGAGGGGTGGGCAGACAGAACAGAGTGCCACTTAAGTTGACCCTCGTCTGGCCCAGTTATTGCAGTCAATAGTTAGATCCTGCTCTCTTCCGGCTGCTTTTTCTGGCCCCTGTAGAGTTCTAGCCCCATGACTCCCACTGTAAGCCTATGACTTCTATGCATTTATTTATTTATTTGCGGCATTTATATGCCGCCCTTCTCACCCTGAAGGGAACTCAGAGCAGCTTACAAGATATATATACATACAATATATTATATTATTAGCATAGTACAATATCAGTATTA